TTGGGCGCGGCTTGGTTGTTGGCGAGCAGCTGGGGCTGTCGCCCGTCCATTTGAACGTTCATTTGGCGCGGAGGTCCGCGCCTGCCCATTTTCTGCCATTCTGGCCTATATTAACTCAAGCATAATTTTCGAGAGTTCTCCGTTTTTGCCGCGGTCGGCGAGGTCAGCCATAGGCAGTTCGTGGTCGCGTTTTAACGAATATTACATTTGCTTTGTTGTTGTTGTTGTTGTTGCTGCTGTGTTTGCTGTTGCTGTTGCTGTGTCTGTTGTTGCTGTTGCTGTTGTTGCTGTTGCTGCTGTTGTTGTACTTGTCTTCGTACAACGGCTGCTGCTGCTCTGCCTGCCATTTCTGCTGCCTCCTCGTTGGATACTCGATTTTGCATCTGCTGTTGTCGAGTTGTTTGCTGGATTGTCTGGGGCTGTCCAGTAGCCATGGGTTGACGTGCATTACTTGATCCTCCTACCTCACCCACAGCTGGCGTCGCTAGATTTGGCCGTGCTCGCGCCGCGATGACTGCCGCCGCCGAAATGGGCGGCGGGAGATTCGGTATCAAGCGGTTTCGTTGTTGAATCTTGGGGGGGCGGGGCAAAGCCGGAGTCTGTGTGTCGTAATACGTGTGTTGCGCTCTCCACGCTCCCCTATGAATCCGCCGGCCATCCTCCTCAATGGAGAAAATATTCATCCTGGCGGGTAATGCGGGCTGATCCCATCGCACCCACACCACGGCTGTAGTGAGATTAGCCTCGACTATCCCCCATTTCTTTCCATATTCATCTACGTCAAAGCCGTAGGCTTCCGCAATAAGCCAGAATAGGCATTTCTGAGGAAATGCCGGAGGTAATCCTGTCAGTCTGAAGTATTGGGCAGATGCCCCCACTATGTCTACTACAAGATCTTGAATGTGGTAATCTCCTAGATGGAGATCTGCTAGATTGATTCGTCCGCAATGGTCCGCTAAGTTTTTTACGGGCGTAATCCACTCCTCCGGTACGTAGACGTTGATCTGTCCAACGACTCCTTCGTCGTTGCGAGCTTCCCAAGCGACCGGTTCTCCGACGAAAACATAAGGAGCTTTTAGCTCCTGTTGTACTGTCTGCACTATTCGGTGTCCAATCGGTCCTGCCATAATGTCTATTACCTGCTTTCTGTTCTCTAGGTAGTTTCCTTGAAAGATTGCTCTCATTGCCAGCGATCGAAGTTTGCCAAAAGGTTGCTCCATCTTCGTAATTTCCCTAAGAAGGGAAATTGATATGGTTGCTTCAGATCGTTCCGCCGTCACACCGGCGGCCTGATCCGTTGAACTGTTGCGAGCCATTTTGATGTCTTTGTTCTCAGAAAAGTTATTGAAGGTAAATAGACCGACCGGGTTAACCCGGTTCGGTCATTGTTATGATGTTGAGTCTGCAAGTTGTGATTGTGGCTATATGGTTGCTGTATTGCTATATTGCTATATTGCTTTTATATGACGTGTAGCATCAGTCCTCAGTTCACTTCTTGTAACGAACATCAGCATAGGTCCAAGCCCTCTCGCTTGGAGGGATATATGCAAACAAACATCCTGATAGGTAAACTCGCATGCTACCGAGCATTCAACCGAGCACATGCATGCTTAGTTGAATGGTGAGATGCGACCCCCCTTCATTTCGTGCTCGGCAAGCCTGCCACCGTGTACCGGATATGTTGGCGATGTTACAGAGACGCTGCACCTTGGTTTCTGTGCGCAATGCATACGATGCTCGACCCCGCCGACCAAAACTACACGTGCCCAACTGAAGACACACCGGTGGTTGTGCAGCAGCTCTTGAGGCTTTGTTGGCTGAAATCCATCCTGAGACGCTGCACCTCGGTACCTGTGCGCAATGCGTACGCTGCTCGCCCACGCCGACCAAAACTACATGTTCCCATCTGAAGACAATGCCGGTGGTTCCTAAACAGAATTTGAGCTTGCTGCTGGCTCAAGTCCTTCCGTAGTTGCTGCAACACGGCTAACGCAGGCACGGCCGAATGCGCTGCGAAAAGCTGTTCCAAGCCCTCAGCGGCATCCATTTTACTTGCAAGGTTCTGAACGACTTTCGCGATTCTTCTCTTTACCTAATTCTGTGTTGTTATTATTTATTTCGTAAGAGTGTAACTTGAGTTTAGTGGGAACAATGTGCATTATGGCTGATTCTTCGCCGACCGCTTCATCTTCCCGCGGCAGTTTCACGAGCCCAGTGTTGCAAGGTGTCCTTGTGAAGCAGCTGCCCGCGTTTCCAAAGCACGTATGGTGTTGGATTGTAAGGTGCCCAAGTACGTTTGCGAGGAAGAGAATGTGGCCAGGCTGGAGAGGAAAGTGCAGTGGCATATTGGAATGTGAGATTAGCGTAAGCGAATTACAGGGTGTTTGGAGCACAGGCGAATTTACGTGCATACCTTTCACTGTAGCATCAGTCCTCAGTTCACTTATTGGAACGAACATCAGCATAGGTCCAAGCCCTCTCGCTTGGAGGGATATGCAAACAAACATCCTGATAGGGGTAAACTAGCATGCATGCTTAGTTGAATGGTGAGATGCGACCCCCCTTTCATTTCGTGCTCGGCAAGCCTGCCACCGCGTACCGGATATGTTGGCGATGTTACAGAGACGCTGCACCTTGGTTTCTGTGCGCAATGCGTACGATGCTCGACCCCGCCGACCAAAACTACACGTGCCCAGCTGAAGACATTCCCGGTGGTTGTGCAGCAGCTCTTGAGGCTGCTGCTGGCTGAAATCCATCCTGAGCTGTTGCAACACGGCTAACGCGGGCACGTCCCTATGCACAGCAAATAGCTGTTCCAAGCCAACAGCGGCGTCCACGTCACCGACAAGGCTCTAAACGTCTTATCTGTTCTTATGTTTAATTAAGTTTATGTATGTTATCCTTTGCGCAACTTTGTAATTTGACTTTGCTCTGAACAAGGTGCTGTATACGTTGCACTACTGGTTCTTCAGCAGCATTTGAGCATGCTGCTGGCTCAAGTCCTTCCGTAGTTGCTGCAACACGGCTAACGCAGGCACGGCCGAATGCGCTGCGAAAAGCTGTTCCAAGCCCTCAGCGGCATCCATTTTACTTGCAAGGTTCTGAACGACTTTCGCGATTCTTATGTTTACCTAATTCTGCGTTGTTATTATTTATTTCGTAATGTGTAAGTTGAGTTTAGTCGGAACCATGTGCATTATGCGCTGCGCTACCGAAAGCAGGCAGTTTCACGAGCCCAGTGTTGCAAGCTACGACGTAGGCTTTCGGTGCTTTCAGTTACTGCAAAGCAGCCACGCAATAGTCCAGCCTGCATGCCGCGTGCGACTATTTCCAACAAGACCACCTGCGCAATGCGCTGGCGCACCTCCAAGAAATTTATATACACTTGTACAGGCGCATTTTGCGAATCGCACGCGCGCATCCGCGCGGTAAAATTCGCTCCTGGCTTTTTTGGGACGATGTACGAACGGTTTATTCGCGAAGTACGACCGGACACATTTGTGCGAGGGGCTGCTTAACCACGATACCGATTGCCACAGTAACATAATGTAATCTATAATGATTTTGAGGCTTCACAGCTGTGACTCCTGCAGGATGCTACGTGGACAGCTTGTACAGCTTGCTGTACGGCTGGATTAATCAGGACCATTCGACTTTTGCTCTACGAGAAGACTACTATGCATTAATAGTGACTCTGCATTTAGCAGATCTTCCTAGACGCTGCTCATACTGTTTACACAAGAATGTTAATTCAGCGGGTTCAGGTTTCTAGCCATGCAACGCGGGGCGTCTTTCGCTCTCCCCCGCTGACGTCGCGCAGCGCGGCTGTGGCGGTCCATGCAACGACAAATAGATCTGTGTTCATTACAGGTGGCAATACGGGCATCGGCTACGAGACAGCCAAGACACTAGCAGCCCAAGGCTTCTGTGTTACTATCGGCTGCCGTGACCCTGCCAAGGCAGCTGCAGCCCTCACCCGCATCAAGTGAGAATTGTTCGTATTTCGTACTCTCCCACAATAGCTGTATTCCTCTTATCCGTCGCCTTGGCTTTTCCGCTGCAACTGACGCCGTTTCCATGTGGCTCTGTTCCCACCATCGTGCGCTTCTCAGGTCATCTACCACCTATCAGGGTCTCCCTGTCAATCAATCAATCTCTCCCTTCCCAACATTATGCTCAGCCCTCCTCTCCCTGTTTCTCCAACCCCCAATAGAGTGCTCGGTATCCGTCCGCCCTTCATAGCTGTGCTTGCTGCTTGCGTACTGCTGAATGTATTTTTCATCACCCACCTACCTGCTCTCCCTGTGCCCTGCCTCGGGAAGGGAAATTGACACATGAAAAAAACAGTTCAGCCGCCGTTGAAAACCAGTTCCCAAAGCCTGCTTACCGGGATGGCATGGATACAAAACTATGGTGTAAAGTAAAACAAAAAACAGCTATCAGCTATTACCCGGTCATTTCGGGTCCCCATCTACCTTTCCCCCTCTCCTTTCTGCCCATCACACGGAGATAATAAGAGAAATCAAGAACCTGGCTTCTCTACCACTCATCTGTCTGTCGCTGCTCGGGGAGTCAGCTCTTATCTTGCTTTTCATAGCCTTCCCCTCCGTGCCTCCCTCCTGCCTCTCCCCTCCCCTCCCTCCTGCCCCTCCCTTCCTCGGGGGCAGTGTCAGATCTCCAACTGTCGCCCCCTGATACTTCCCCTCTTCCAACTAACAGCTGAATTACATACAAACGAACACATGCACATGCACATATGTGCACATACAAACGTGCATACATAATCGTGCATTCAAGGAACGTAAACGTGCCGGTATAACGCCGTACCCTCAGGGAGGCCGTACCCTCCGCCGCGGTTGATTCGGTGGCCCTGGACCTTTCAGACCTCAACTCCGTATCGGATTGCGCCAAGCGAGTGCTGGACAGCGGGATCCAGTACGACGTCTGGATTAACAACGCGGGTACGATAGGGCGTACGACATGTGCGATGGGGGTGCAACGCGCATAACGCGCAGCCTTCATTAAACCACACTTATTTGCATTTGTATTTGCATTTTTGAACTTGCTTTCCTCCACCACCCCGTCTTAGGTACTCCGTCTCTCTCCATTCCCGTGATCTTCCCTCCCCTCCCCTCCCCTTTCCAGGTGTGATGGCCTGTCCCAAGATGACCACATCTCAGGGATTCGAGTACCAGCTGGGAGTCAACCACCTGGGGCATTTTGCCCTCACCAACCAGGTGCTGCCAGCGCTGAAGGCAGCAGACAAGTAAGAAGCGGTAACAGCTGCAACATGGGTTAAGGGAGGGCGGTTCCACCCCTTGCATTCATCTTCCTCTACTCTCCCTCCTCTCCCCCTCGCTGACCCGCCTCAGCCCCACCCATATGGACGACCGCGTGTTCTCGGGTCAGGTCGTGACAGACATCTCTCCTCTGCCTTCCACCCGCATCATCCACCCGCCGCGACCGGTACCACCCCGATTGCACCCCAAGTTCGAACAAATCTGCAGCAGCCCTCGCCATGAAGGGGTGTTCCTTTGCACCCCAATCTCTCCCTCCCCACCCTCCCCGCCCCGGAGGTCTGCCCTCCTCCCCGCCTGGACGTGTCACCCGGCGTTGGGCAACATCCCCAGATTGGGGCTCGCGCGCGCATGCGCGTCAAGGCCACTCTCTGCACCCTCCCCCCCAACTCCTACAGCTTCACTCTTTCGTGGTTCGTCTTTCCCCCAACTCCTACACGCCCCGCCATGTCTGTAACGTGACGAGGGTCGCTGACAGTGCTTCGCTTCACCGGAATCCCACAGGCCGGTTCGCATTATCAACGTGGCTTCCGCAGCCCACTTGTTCGGAAAGATTGACTTTGAGGATTTGATGCGAGATCGATCGTACGATGCTTGGGAGGCGTACGGCCAATCCAAGCTCGCCAACATTATGTTCTCTTACGAACTCAACCGACGGTTGGGTGCCGACAGCAAGATAACGGTCAACTGCCTCCATCCCGGTGTGGTTAAGACGGAGCTGGGCAGGTGTGTGTATATGTATGTATGTATGTATGTGCCTGTGTGTGAGCGTGTGTGTGGAAGGGAAGAGGGAGCCTGGGGGATATGCGCTTGGGAAAATAGCTTGTCGTACACGTTTGACAGCTACCCCACGCCTTGTTAAGCTGGAAGATTTGAGTCTTTAAGACACTCGCAGCCAACCAACGAATTGACCGATTATCCACGCAAAACCCTGGGTCCATGGCGTCGTGGCCGTACACTTGCCAAAAACACCTCGGTTCTTCTCCCGTGCACCGTCTCCCCGTGTTTCCCCCCCTTGACCTGCCCCGTCTTGCCTCCCCAACCCCTGTAGCCCCCGTTGCCATTGTTTTCCGATCTGGGTTGGGCGCTCTCTCTCTTTTCCTCCTCTCCCTCCCCGAAGCCCTCCGGGTATATCCCCACCTCGTCGTCATGGTTTCCACCCCCTATGGCTCCCTCCGTGCCCCGCGCTCTCTCCCTCCAATCCTCTGATACTCGCCACCTAACGGCCACGCCGCAGGTACATGGAAGCTGGCGGCCAAAAGACCTGGTACATGCCCCTCGCTATCGAGGTGATGAAGTTCTTCATGTTGGAGCCCGCTCAGGGCGCCGCCACCTCCATCCACCTGGCCAGCAGCCCCGAGGTGGAGGGAGTGACGGGGAAGTATTACGTCGACTGCCGCCGCGCCGTCAGCAGTAATGATTCCTACAACCGGGATACGGCGAGCCGGCTTTGGGAGGTCAGCCAAGAGCTGACGGGGGCGGTGGTGCCAGTGGCGGAGGCAGTGGCGGCCTGAGGAACCGGAGCTGTTTGTGTGTATGTATGTTTCCATCGCACCACCTGACGCACGGGGATCTCACAGCAAGAGGGGCTACGAGGGGCACATAAGACCGACCTGGCACTGGACCTGGAGGAGGAGGAGGAGGAGGAGGGGGTAGGGGTGCGAGATGGGGGGGGCCCTCTCCCCTGGAGCCTGAGTAACGGACAGACCGCCGAGGCACTCCCAGTCTTTGCAGTACCTGGCTAGGAAGTCGAGCCTTTCTAGAGCCATGGCGGCCTTCCGAGCTGCCTACCTAGCCACCTAGCCACCTAGCGGGCGGGTTCTGGGAGAGAAACACAGGCAACCCACGGCTGGGGCAGAGCCGTCTCTTAAGCGCCTCGACAGAAACCTCCAAACCTACACACAGAGCTCAGCCATGTCCACCCCGCGTCCCGCTAAGCGGCCCGGGTGGACTGGTAACCAAGAGCTGCGCGAGGGGAGCGGGAGGGAAATGGTACGACGACAGTCGCGAGGTCACACCTTGGAACCCCCGGTACGACTGGCAAGCAGGAAGCAATCATCCAGTAGTGAGCTCGCCGCTGCGAGTGTGTATGTATGTATTTATGTATGTAAGTGTATGTAAGTGTATGTATGCGCGTATACACATAGATGCACTCCTGTCGAAATAAGGAGTGGAAGAGAGAGCCGTTATGTTATTTGTAAGATGAGCCGTGGCGCTCATCTATTCGGTGTTTTTATGGCTTGCATGTTGCTACATGGTTTGTACGGTCCTACATGCCCAACATGGTTTAGAGGAGTTTAATTTTTTGATAACTTGAGCTGCTTTGTATTCTGGTGGACTGTCGACCGCGGGAGGGTGAGCGACGTGACGTTGGGTCGGTGGATGGCGCAGGAGGTCACGTATTCTGCTGCTGGGATTTGATTGCCTAATTCACAAGGGATTTTTTTGGATGGAATTTTTAAGGATGGAATTTTTAAACAGACGTTAGATCCCGTCTGTGTTATGTGTGTGTGTGTGTGTGCATGTTTGAGAGGTGCGTGGGAAAGGGGAGGGACATGAGCGAGAGGAGGGTGTCGGAAAACGAAAACGAAGAGTGAGAGAGAGAGAGGGGGGGGGAGGAAGAGGAGGAGGAAGCGAACAAAAAAAGAAAGCACACTTTTGTGTGTGTTTTATTGACGTGTGGCCACTAGGAACCAAGGGCAAATATGAGTATGCCGTCATGTGCGTCAGAGTATGCGAGAGAGGGTCAGGGAGGGGCGCCAGTGAAGGGGTATGATGGGTGTGGGGAGGGACGTTGCAGGATTGGTGTCCGGACCGGGTATTGGCGAGGGCGAGAGGGAAGCTGAATTGCTCATGTGTGCTGCCTCAACGAGTATGTGTTAAGGGGCGCACAGTTGAGGTTGACCGCTTGAGTGATGGGTGGTGTAAACAGCTGCGCTTCAACACGACATTGAATTGTGACTCACGCAACACGGGACGAATCCTCCGTTCGGTGGAAAACAAATCCGCACTTCAACTCTGGGAAAAGCAGCAGGGGTTCATTGAATTGAATTGTGACAGAGTGGGAGGCTTTTGAGCCATTTGAACACATTGTCATTTCTACGATTTATCATACCATACAGCACCATACACCATTACCACACTGTACTACGCCATACGAACTGGAAGTCCAAGGCGGTTGTTCCTGCCTTCTGGGATCCCTCCCCATCCAGCAGGGGTTCAGATACGTAATGAACCACACACGTACAAGAGACACAGGACAAGAGAGGTGGCGGTAGAACCTTGGCCCCGTACCGTGGCGGCATGGGCTATGCGATACGAGCACGGGTCTACGTGCAAGGGGACGGAGGCGATTGACAAAGAGGTACCACGTATAATCCAGGAGACTAGGATGAGAGCGGAAGGAGAACGAAATCGCTAGCGGTGGCTGTAATGAAAGCCTGCCTATCCTCTGCATGTTGTGGGCGACAAAGAGGAAATGCAATGGGTGGGATGGTGGAACGCGAGAGTGTGGAATGGCGCTGAGGTATGTTGTAACGCTATAACCTCCTCGCGCTCTGAGAGGTGAGGATAGAGGCAACGAGCGTCCCCTCAGGACGATGTCGCCGTAATTTTTTGAATACCTTCACTAAAATGTCCGGTGTTCTGAAGAAGGTGCATGGAATGTATTGGCCAGATTGAAGGGTTTTGGCAAAGTACGACAGCGGCGGATAGTGAGGGAAGATTCGCGAGTCGCAACACCTATCAGCTGAACGACACAAAACAGACGGAGTCTATGGAAAGGAATTAGGTAAAGGACACACCTTGCACACTTACCTTCGTAAGCTGCCTCCATCTGCCATGTGAAACACTGTAGTCCATTTATGGCAGTAAGAGGGATTTGCAAGTTTTGAAGTTATAACCAGATGCATTACGCCCTCTGGGGCTGAGCTGACGACGCCATGGAGAAGAGATCGACAGACTGTTGCTTGGTCTTCTTCCGACTTGTGAACGTAGTTACCTCAATAAGTGCAATATTATGCTTAGTCGCATTCTCCATGGCAATCGTGGTCGGTCCACCGTTTACAGATACCGTTCATATGAAAGCACAAATACTCAGGTCTGTTGTAGGCCTTCGGATCATCAGTACCAGTTTTGCTTTAGAAGTGATTTGAAAGTACAAAGCCTGGCGGCGCCAGGCCGGTTTCGGACGCAGGGTTTCGATTGTTCGCCGCTCAGGCCCCGCCAACCACCCCTGCAGAGTTTATGGTATACTGTGGGCGGCTGGATTGGCGCTTATTGAGACGGAATTCGAGTGGCTGATGCAATTCTGCCGCATTATGGAGTTCTGGACAGCGCGCGGCGTGTGTCAGGTAGTGCTCAAACTTTTCGAACTCCTTATAGGTTTTGCCACATGAGGCCCGTGCAGTTTCAAATGGGTGACATCGGGGATTGGACGACTGATTGCAGGGTCTGCAGCACCTCGCATATACACACATCTAGCGGCCCGAATACAGTCGCAAAACCGATGCACCGCAGCCCGAAACCTGGGTTTCACCCGCTGTCACGCCTGCACCATAAAAGGCCCCTACTGCCTAACCTCCAATCCCAAAGGCCCCAACTCCCTGAGCTCAACCCCCTGCGGCCCCTGGCCCCACTCTTGTTCCCCCCCCCGCGGCCCCAACCTCCTCTCCCGCGCCCGGAACCTTTTTTCCCGCCGCGCTGACCACCCCCCTCTATATACCCCTACCAGCCTCCACGGGCCCAGCTCCGGGCTCATCATGGGGTCCTCTTAACTTGTCCTTAACAACCCCCGTTCTTGTCCTCCCCAATGTAAATCCCCTCAGGCCTTCCTCGCCGTCATGACGCTGGAGCTGGTGCACAGCAGTGGCAATAGCGACTTTGACAAATCAGTACGATTATATCGTACAGTCAGCGCATTCTGGTAAATCGCCAGGGCCGCAATGCGCTTACCTGGGCAGGGGGGAGGACCTCCCACAACACCTACAAATTCACACCGCGACTGTCAACGCACCTATGCCCGCCGCACCCACACATACGCACCCAGCCTTGGCAAGTCGCCTTACATCGTTCATTCCGGCTGACTCACCCCTTGGGACCTCTCCGCACGCATTTTTTTCCTCTCCCGCTTCGACCCTTTCCCACCTCAACCCCCTCCTTAATGCATTTCCATGACATTCGAGCCCTTCCATGGCCCTGCCCTTGCAGTATGTTGGGCTGCTCGGGGTTCTACGTCCTCGGAGGCATGCTGTGCTTGGGGACCCTACGTAATGGTGGGTGGTACTAGGACCGCGGTAGCACCGGGCACCTATCTGATCCGGGGAGGGGAGGGGGCGGCAGACCGGGGTGCCGACCAGTGCGTAAGGAATCCTTAAGGGTTTTGACGTGGTTACACATACGTTCGTACGTACGTATGTGTCCCTTTTTAACTCGGACCCGTGCTCACACGGCGGCTCACATGGCGGCATCGATCAGATTGTGCCTGTTTCCGCTCGCACCCTCGCGGCCCCTGAAGACACACATGTTCCCTCCGTATGCGCACCTATGCACATTCATACATGTACCCACACATGCATGCACATACCCACACCCACTTCCTCTCCCGTGCAGCTCGCTACAAGCGGTTCGTTGAGCGGCTCCGAGTGGAGCGAGATCTGGAGAGTCTGGACAAGCAGCGTGAGGAGCTTAACAGGCTGCTGGCGGCGTACACCAAGGAGTAGCGCCTGGCCTGGCTGCCTACCATGGGAGGGGGTGGCATAGCGGGGGAGCTCTAACTTCATTAGCAAGGTGGAGTGGCCACGCGCTACGACTACGACTACGACTAGTACTTAAGGGGAGTAAGCCAAACAAGCAGGAGGAACTGTGGAGACGCAGCAGTAGCAGCGGTAGACGCAGCAGTGACAGCAGCAGGCGGCTGGGGTGGAATTTTGAGGGAAAGAAGCCCTACAGCAACACGGGCAGGGCGTGAGGTGGCATGAGTGGGAAGCATGCAGGATTGCAGAGGTTCCCCGAAAACCAGGTTCTAAGCGCGCGTGTCGTAGTGGGCATTAGCGTGTGGAGTGGGGTCCTGGGGTGGTGATTTGGGTGGCATGCAACCCAGGGGGAAGGGGGGGAGGGAAGGTGGTGCAGTAGTAGTATGTAACGTAACACAAGATAATGAGGAAACTATTGTTTGTGACACGAGGTGTATTGTGGTGCCAGAGGGCTCGGTTTGTCCGGTTGCCTGTTTAGGAGAGCCCCTGAAGTTTGGACGGCGGTGACTGGCGGTTGGGTTGCTGGTTGGCGCGTTGTTAGTTCCACGTAAAGGGGGGATCCAGGCGCGGGAGCTGGGGTAGACCCCCCCCTCGCAGCGCCGTGCCGGGTTCAGGTGATTGGTGAAAAGGGCAGATGGGGAGTTGGGGCGGTAATGACGAAGTGGAGTGAGTTGAGTTTTAGGGCGGTGGTCCGGGGTGCTAAAAAGAGGGCCCGGAGGTGGCTGTGTGCAGGTGTTTAGATGGTATGGTTTCGGAGCCTGTAGGGTTCGTCTACACAAGGGACACATACAAAGCTTCTCCCACAGGATTTAAGATTCTTTGCGTGAGGGGCGATGGACTTGCGGCAGCGATCCAAACCTCAACGCTAGCCAAATCGGGGCATTGGTTGAGACGCAGAGCGGCGAACCGGCGATGCTTTGTTGGTGCAGACCGTTGCCGGCCGTTAAGTATTAGTTAAAACAATGTGCTGATGAGGACATAAAAGTGCAAAAGCCATAGCTTCTGCGTGTGGGATTGCTATGAGATGGCTGGAAAGCCTGCCGTGCCTGCAGCAAGGCGTGTAAAAACTGCAGTTCGGTATGGACGAGCGATCCTAAACCGGCGATCGGGGACATTCCCGTGCGTGCAAAACCGAATCTCACTGCAATGCTTCTCTTCTATTGTAATGCTTTGAAGATAATAACGGCATCACCTAGGGAGATGGTGCGCGTCGAAAAGACCTCGGATAGTGGTACAACTTAACTTGGCAAATCTGTAGAGTGCTTAGTTGTCACATCATAAGCTGTTGCTACTTTACCTATGTGTATTTAAGAACAGCCTGCCCAACTAGAAAGCCCTTAGGCAGTCTCCTCTCAGGAAACACAGGTGATCTAAACTTTGGAGTTTGTAATGTTATATTTTCCGCTTAGGAAGCATGTCACCATTCTAGTATCTGCGGCTGTGGTGATGTGTACTCAAGCGAGGAGTCGTTGATCTTCATTGGGAGTAAATGCCTCGCTTTGATGATGACGCTGCAAGCGTCGTCAGCTCATCAGCAGGATCTGTTATTGCGGAGGTGGGCATGAAAAGCGTTGGCGAGGCTCGCTGGGAGTGGAACGTCCCTTGCAACAGCTGTTTTGTCTTGCGCAGAGGAAAGTGCCTGCCGTTATCGCAAACAAAACCAAGGAAGAGCTGCAGGTGTACGTGTTGGACCTCTTGAAAAAGCTAAAAATCCGCGACAAGCGCATTGAAGGTCAGTTGGCCAGTTACCCATCTGCAACTGCAGGAAGGAAACAGTGCCAATGCACCCTTCCTTTAACCCGCTAATCACCGTGTGCTCTTTGCCTGCAGAACTAAGTGTCAACAAGGGAGGCTCGACATCCGAGGTGGGCACATCATGTCTTGCGTCTTTTCCTGGTACATACCCCTATCCTCCACACACCAAAACCCGACGTCGTCTCCGACAACCTATCTACAACTCTTACCTGCCCTAACACCATATAGCAGCTCCTGTTTGCCTGTTGATCCCGCCCACGTTCCAACTAACATCTTGAAGGACTACAGCTAGAAGCTTTTACGCGGCCACTGGAACCACTATCGCGGCCACCGGAACCACTATCGCGGCCACATCCTCGTGTTCCTGCCTCCCATGCCAGGGTTCATCAGGGGTTGACCATGGCGGTCTCGCGTCCCTGGTGCGGCGCGCTGAGGCGGCGGAGGCAGCTGCCCGCGAGGCTACGGAGGCGAGCAGTGCTTTGCGGGCGGAGCTGGCTCTGACTAAGGACTCAATGGCGGAGGCGCAGGCGCGGGCTGAGGTACGCGGGTGTTGGGAAAAAAAGCCGCCCAGTCTGGCGTGCAACAAGCGCACGTGGGAGGACATGGACACGGGGAATTGGTGGGGGTTATGGGGTAGGGCGATTCGGAGTAGCTTGGGCATTGGTAGATGGGCAGCTCAGGTTTGTAGGGAGTGGGTACGGCTGGGAACAAGTGCTTAGCGTGGGTGTGGGTGGATGGATGGGAGGGTGTGCCTGGAGGTCGTTTTAGGTCGTTCGTTGTCGGCAGGGTGTGCGCAGTTAGCAGAGAGCAGCATCCAAGCTTGTAGACACCCACCGTTACTTCCCTCTGAAACACTTGGGGACTCCCCCGTCCCCCGTTACGCCTTTCGGTCAGTCCTACTTCTTGTACACTCTCTCCTTGGCAGCAGCGTTCACTCCTTCGTGGTTCGTCCTTCCCCCCTTCCCCCGCAGGAGGCTCTGACCCAGTTGGCAGGGGCCCAGCGGGAGGCTGAGGCGCTGGTGGCTTCCTCCAGGGAGGGGGCCATGGCGGCGGAGGAGCGAATGCAGGAGCATCTGCGGGTGAGTAGGAATGGGAAAGTGGTAGGAGTGGTGGCGGGGAAGAACGCCCCAGCGGGAGCGGAAGAGTGGTGGAGGGCCGGGAGGGGGCCCGGGCCCGGGACAGCGTGGGGCGAGGCAAGGTTCAGGGGGGGCTGAGATTTGGGTGTGTATGGATGGGAGTACAGTATATGTGGACCGGTGGGCTGCAGGGGTGTGGGGTCTGCCTGTTCGCGCGCAACCCATAGCATGGCCATCCGTGCGTACCGCCCTACCGCAGCTCAAATCCTTCTTTCCTTTACAGTATGCAGACAAGCCTGTCGCCTGTCCTGTGCGTTGTCCGAATCTGCCTCGCGTGCAGGTAGCAAATCCAGGCTTAACTGGAGTACATGCATGCGAATGGATTTCATGTGCTCCGATCCCCTCCCCATCTCTGGCGCATCAGTCTTTCCTTGGCATCAGCTTCACTCGCTCGTGGTTCGTCTTTCCCCCCAACCCCTCCACCTTCGATTTTCCACATGATGCACCCCTTGGTACCCTCAGGAGATGGAGTCCATGCGGGCGGCTCTGGATGCCTCCAAGCAGTCAGTTCGGGAGTGGTCGGAGCGCGAGGCGGCCTACCAGCAGCAGCTGGCCTCCCTAAAGGGGGCCCTCAAGGACATGAGCGCCAAGGACAGGACCATGACGGAGGAGCGTGAGGAGGCGTTCTCACGGCTCGGTGAGTTCGGGGGTGAACGGAAATGTCCGGGAGATGGGGCCTGGCGGGACATGGACAAGCCGGTTGGATAGGTAACGTGTAATCTAGGAGACGTGTAAGCTGTGCGTGGATGCGTGCATGTGTGTATGAATGTTTTTCGTGCAGGGGAAGCCAAGGAGCGCATTGCCGAGCTGGAGGATAAGCTGGCGGAAGTGGAGGGCAAGGCGGCGGAGGCCGGGGCCATCGCCGCAGCGGAGCTGTCTGCTGCACAGACCCGTATCACGAGCTTGGAGGCGGAAATGGCCGCCGCAGCGGCGGCGGCAACGGCAGCAGCTGCCGCCGCCTCCGCTGACCTGGCTGCGGTGCAGACGCGCGTCGCGGACTTGGAGGCGGAGTTGTCAGAGTGCAAGGCTGCGGCGAAGGCTACTGCAGATGCCGCCGGCGCTGAACTTGCAGCCGTGGAGGCGCGAGCCGCATCTTTGGAGGCGGAGGCGGCTTCCGCCAAGGCCAGTGCCGACGCCGCCGGCTCCGAACTTGCCGATGCCCAGGCGCGCGTGGCTAGCCTGGACGCCGACCTCTCCACGGCGAGGGCTACGGCGGAGGCGCGCATTGCCGATCTCCAAGCTGAGGTGGCGGCCACGGCGGCGCGCGTAGAGGCGCTGCAGCGCGACTTGGCGGATGCCAGAATGGCGGCGGCGGCGGTGCCGCCGCCGCCGCCTGGGTCGCCGGCGGCAGTGCTCAGCGGCGGCGGCGCCGCCGCGGAGACCATGGCGCTGCGCGAGGCACAGGCACGGATAGCGGAGTTGGAGGGTGAGTTGATTGCCTCGGCGCGCAAGCTAGCGGAGCATGAGGATGCAGCTGTAGCGGCGATGAATAAACAGAAGCAGCGGTACGTGGCGCTGGAGGCGAAGCTGACAGCGACGCAGCAGCAGCTGGTAGTTGCGAAGCAGCAGCTGGAGTCAGCCGCCGCCGCCGCCGCTGGCAATGGCAACGGCACCGTTGCAAAGGGCGTTTGCTCTGAGAACGGCGGAGTGCACGATGACGCTGGTGCTGAGGACGCCACCATTTCCGCCGCAGCGGCGGCTGCCATAGCGGAGGCCCAGGAGCGGCTGCGGCAGGTGGAGGGGCGGCTGGCGGAGAGCACGGCGCAAGTCGAGGAGCTGGAGAAGCAGAACCAGGTGCGCTACGACTCGGGGATGTGCACCGCACCTTCCCCGTCCTTCCGCCTGGTGTAACTACTCCCCTCAGCAAAGACGTCTTGTCTTGTTAGTATCTCCCCCGTCTTTCCATCCGTTCCTGGAGCGTTGTTGCATTCGTTGCGCTCAGTCTTGGTCGGCCCTGGGGCCGTTCCTATTGGCCGGGCCCTACCTGACTCTCGGATGTCACTGTGTCCTGACCTTACTGGACTTTCCCTTACCTTGCCTGGCGTCTGACCCGGACCTGCCCCTTGACCGAACCGGCCTTCCGAATTCCGACCCTGCAGCGCCTGGTTTTGGAGCGCGAAGCCCTGCTGACGTTGCAGGACCAGGCAGCAGGCGAGATCACTGCCCGGCTGGCGGCCCTTGCTGACAAGGAGCGGGAGCTTGGGATTATGCAGGCAAGGGTGTGAGCGCGTGGCGTCCGTTGCGTTGCGAGTCACAAACATGACGTTCAGTTTACGACGGTTATGGGCTTTCGCGCCTGGCTTACCACGCAACTTACTTGGAGCGTCCGGGATCGTCGAGGCCGACGTCAAGCTCCGAGACCTAACTGCCCTCCTGCAGCTTTCTTTTCGTCCCCCATTTCCCTAACTCCGCTCTCACTCGTTCATCTCTCAACTTCTTCCTCCTTCCTAACGCCCGCCCTCCCAGGCTCCAGTCAACTCCCGCACACCCAAAACTTTATTTTATGTACATGAGAAAAGTGCATTTTTATGTACATGGCTTCTCTCAAACCACCCCGTCGTCCTCTCCCACGGGAAAAACCTTTGCTTCTTGCTTCATATAACCCACCCGGGGAATGCCATTCAGGTGGTACTCCGGGACGCGGACGCGCGGCTGGAGGAGATGCAGGCGAGATTGGATGAACACGAGACCGAAATAGCGGCAGGAGAGGGAGGAGAGGGCGCGCAGGTGTGTGTGGGGGGGGGGGGAAAGAGGGAGAGGGAGAGGGGGAAATGGGACGAAGGAAGTGCGGCCTGGGGCGGGGCGACGGTAGGACGGTATGCTTGGGGCAGGGTAGCGGTGGTAAGCAACTAGGGCGACACCCTGGTGGGCATTTTGTTACGTTGTGGTGTGGTGCATGGTGTAGTGTATTGCGTCGCATGGGGCAGTGTGATGTGGCGAATGTGACTTGCCACAAGATGCCAAGTTTTTGAATGGCTGGAGTGCGTGTGTTCGTGTGTCCGTTTAAATTGCACAAATGAGCGCGTTGCCGTCCTTGAGCGTTTGTGACATCTTCTTGGCGGGTTCAGGTTTCGGAGCTGCTCCGCGCCCGGGGCCATTTGGCAGCTCATATAGAGGGGCTGGTGGCGGCTGTGGAGGAAATGGAGGCAGCACAGCGCCGGACCTCGGCTGCGGCACAGGTGGGATGTCGGACATATATACCGCGCTCCACGTCCTTGAGCGTCAAGAGGGTTGGGTTTGGGTGTTTTGGTTACGGTCGCGGGGAATTTGGGGTTGGGAGCCCGAAGCCCGACATAACTTTTATATCAACATGTAGGTCCTTTACTTCTGGACATGTACATGCGTGTTTCACCCGTTTTGGAGTTGGATAGCCAAGCAGGCTTACATGGGTTTTTGATTGGATGCCTGTAAGCCTGATGCACGTGAGCCACTCACCTAGTACTATAGGCATCCAACTGGGATTATTGGCGCTGTTGGCGTCTGCCCTGCTGTTGCTTTTACTGTTGGCTGGTGCTGCTACGACTGTTTGTTTGCTAATAAAGCCGCTCTGTGTTGGCGACGAGTGATATGCAGGCCCGGGAGGAGGCTGTTGATGAAGCCTTGTTGCTAGGGGCACAGGGGCTGCGGAGGGGCCCGGTGGTGTCCGCCGCGGAGGAGGGTGATGGTATCGATGCCGGCGCAAGTACGGCGGAGACCGAAGCACCAGCGGAGGTGGCGACCGTGGCAGCAGCGGAGGCTGAACGGCTCCGTGGCGAGCTGGTGGTGGCTCGTGAGGAGCTGCACCAGAAGTCAGCGGAGGTTGCAGCGCTGTGCGAGAAGGTGCGCATGCTGGGGGTTGGGGCGGGAAAGATCTGAGCCATGATCCACACACACACGGCACGATATGGCGCAGCACGGCAGGGGAAACAAAAGTGACTTGGATCACTGATCTTGGCACCCGTGCGTTGTCCATTGGTTCCCCCGAGCTGCAGCTCGAGGATGCCTCAAACCGGCTGGAGGCCCTGCAGCGCGACATCCTTGCCGTAAGAGACGAGCGCGACGCCGCCGTTCACGCATGCGAAGCAGCAGAGCGCGACGCCGCTGCCCTACAGGATGATCTGGAGCAGCAGCTTCAGGCGTTGCGGCAGCAGCTCGCGATTGAGCAGGCGTCAGCGGCGGCAGCCGCCGCAGCTGATGGCAATGCCGCGGCAGCGGCCGCAGCCGCTGCAGCAACGCGCCTCTCGGAGCTAGAGACGGAGGTGCGTGAGCTCAAGGCCTTGTTGGACGATCGCCAAACGGCGATACAGCAACAGGAGGAGCAGCACCGGCGGCAACTGGAAGACCTTAAGCAACGGCAGCATGAGGAACAGCTGGCGGCGGCAGCAGCGGAAACGAATGCAAGGGAAGCAGCAGCCGCGGCAGCAGCAGCAGCTGCTGCGGCGGCAGTGGCGGCCTTGGAGTCCCGGGTTTTGGAGCTAGAGGCAGAACTCAAGCGCGCTTCAGAGGAGGCAGCAGCTCAGCAGCAGCTGCTGAGCGCGGAGGTCGAGGCACAAGTGGTGAAGAAAGAGGAGGAGCTCCGTGCGGCGTGTGATGCAGCGGAGGTGCTGAAGGACCGGGTTTCGGAGCTGGAAGACGCACATGGGGCCCTGGAGTCGCGCAGCCTGGAGGCGGTGTCGAGGGCGCAGGAACTGGAGGCCCAGCTGGCGGCATCTGCGGAGGCGCTGGCCGCGGCACAGGCGCGCGTAGCGGAGCTGGAGGCAGCTGCCTCCGCCGCGGCGGAGGCGGTCGCGGAGCAGCAGCGCGGCGCCGCCGCGGCGGAGGCGGCAGCCGCCGCCAGCTTGTCAACGCGGTTAGGGGATTTAGAAGCAGAGAATGACCGGCTATCGAAGGAGCTCCAGGCAAGGAAGGAGGAGGAGGGCTCACGGGGCTCCAATTTGGCTAGGGAACCTCTAGCTAGACTGGGCGGAAAAGAGGAGTGGCGCTGCTGGGACCCAGTTCAGCTGCATCCAATGGAAGTAGCATGGCTAGGGAGGCGCCATACATGTTTCCCAGATCTCCTGCCTGATGCTTATCGAATGTCCCTTTACGTGAAACCCAAACAGGAAGCCAAGCGGAAGCTGATTGCCCTTGCCAAGAAGCGGCAGACGGAGGTAGCGGCGGCGGTTAAGGAAGTGGAGGTACGGCTGGCGGCCGCGGAGCAGGACGCGGCGGCGGCGCGCGCCGAGCTGGTGGCGGCGGAGGAAGAGCGCGGCACGTTGGCGGCCCGGGTTTCAGAGCTGACCGCTAGCGTGGCGGATCTGACTCGGCAGGTTGCTGCGGCGAATACGGAGGTGGCGCAGCGGGATGGCCTACTGCAGGTACGCGTTCTCAGGGGCCCTATGTCTCAAATCTCCCTATGTGTCTCCTGCGCCACGTGTGCCCACCCAACCGCTTTCGGTCTCGCGCTCAAAAATAGCGTTTTCATTTTTTGGCTTTTCCGTTGCATCACCCCCCAAACTCGAACTCTTTCCAGGAGTACAAGTCGCTTGCTGCTCAACGTGAGGGAGCCGCTGGGGCGGCGACAGCGCGCATGGAGCAGGAAGTTAAGCGGCTGCAGGTAGGTGGTTAGTTTTGGGTGCAGCTGTGTGAAAAGGGAGGTGTGGTTGAGGTTCGAACCTGGAGCGTTCTGAAGGGCTTTCCTTAATCTTTTTCGTCTATGCTTTGTCGTCGTCGTCGTCGTCTTTGTCATCATCGTCGTCGTCCCTATCGTTATTTGTGTCTAAGGGCACGTTTAGCCGTCCGTCACGTTTCCCGGGCTGGTTTTCGGGTATAGGTTGTGTTCTTCGTTTGTGTTCTTCTCTTCAGGAAGGCTCTATCGCCCTGGGGGGAAAAGTCGAGTTACCTGCTGAGCTAGTTACAGCCCGCTGCCGCTCCGCCGCTACCACGTTTTCCTTTCATTTCATTTTGCGGCTGCAAACTGTTTCCCAGAACACTGCGTAACGGTGTTACTGTTGCTGCTGCTGCTACCGCTGCTGCTATTACTGGTTGCTGCTGCTGCTACTGCCCCTCCTCGTTTCCATGCCACGTCATCGCGACGTTATCATGATACGCGCATACAAACTTGCTACTGCATCACGTGTACGACAGCACGAGTACGAGGTGGCTTTGTCCAAGACTCAGTCCAAGCTCCGAGACCGCGAGCTGGAGATCGAGTCGCTGAATGTGGCATTAGGGCGTGCAGAGAAGGAGGCGGCGGCCGCGGCGGCGGAGGCGGCAGAGGCGCGACGCGCGGCGGCGGCAGCCGCCAGCGGCACCAGCGCCGATGTGGCGGCGGCGCGGGCAGAGGCGGATGTACTGCGCGCTGACGTGGCATCCTTGCGGAAGGAGCTGGAAGCGGAGCGAAGCAAGTGAGTAGCAGTGGCGTAGCGGAACACGGTTTGTGTACGCCGGGAGTACCGTGTTGGGAGTATCGTTGTATTGAATCATCGTTGTTTGTGCGCTAAATGCTGCCAAAACTGAGCAGTGAGATGGTGAGGGCAATTATAATAGACAGCATTTGTTTCGTCAAGATCCGGAGCAATGGGCATGATTTACCACAAGTGGGAAGAAAGATAGCCAACGCGGGGGGGAGAGAGAGTGTGTGTGTGCGTGTGTGTGTGTGTGTGTGTGTGAATGTATGTATGCACGTGTGTCAGCTGATCTGACCTATAACGGTTTCGACCCACATCAACACCCACATCAACACCCACATCAACACCCACATCAACACCCACATCAACACCCACATCAACACCCACATCAACACCCACATCAACACCCACATCAACACCCACATCAACACCCACATCAACACCCACATCAACACCCACATCAACACCCACATCAACACCCACATCAACACCCACCTGCAGGGTGGCCAAGGCTACGGAGGACGCTCGCAAGCGATGTGCTAAAGCGCAGAAGGCCCAACATGCGGCAGAGGTGGCTCTGGCGGAGGCTAAAGGCAAGGCGCAGGTGAGCTGTTGTAGCTGTTGAGCGGGAGGGCGGGAGGCAGGAGAAAGTGTGTGTGCGGGGGGAAGGGGCTCGAACCTCTAAACGCCGCTTTTTCCGCCCTTTTCTTGAGCCACCATATTCCACAACACAAGGCTCACCGCACATGCACACCTTCCAATGCATATCCATGAATCCTTCACATCTGCCCATGCCCATCTACCTGCTACACCGCTTACGTTCACATGTATGTATGTCCAGGCTGAGACGGCGGGCGCGCGTGTGGAGTTGGGTCTGGTTCAGCAGCAGCTGGAGGCGGTGAGGCGGGAGAAGGAGGCGGTGGAGACCGAGCTACGGGATTACAGAAACAGAGCACAGGTGGGACAGGGGTGCTGGGAGGCGGGTGGGTTGCGGGTGGTTTATATCTGACCCTTTTGAAATCATGCATGCAAAAATAAAATTTGCTCGTGAAATAGTCTTACCACTAATAGAGAAAATAAGCAATGACTGAATCTTCTTCATCCTGATCAGGACCAAATCGAGATAATTCTTCTTTATTTCACCAAAATCTATTTGTGCTGCTCGATTTTGCCCATGTTTGGTAACTACAACAAAATAGGCAGGTTGGGCAGGCTTAGGGCCCTGTGCGTGTGTGCGTGTATGGCTGTCTGTGTGTGTGTCTGTGTGTGTCAACGCAAATGGCCTGGTGGTTGTGCGGATGCTGGCTTTTTATGATGCATGCGGGTCCATTGACACGAGGACAAGTGGGCAAGATGGGGACTTTAAGGATGTTGTCTCTGGTGGATGAATGATGGGATGAGGAAGTGGAATGCCCCAGAGGAGCGCCTGTCCACTACCGGCTGACTAACCCCTCCCCGCGGGACTCCGACAGCAGTTTGGCGGGTGGTACCTCGGACGTCGGCGGCAGTTGCACCTTTCGCTTTTTGCCGCATATATTTACCCCTTTCCCTCCCCCCACAGTCCGCGTTCACTCGTTCGTGGTTCGTCTTTTCCCCCCCCTAGCCCTCTTGCCCTGGCATCAGCTTCACTCGTTCGTGCTTCGTCTTTCCCCCGCCCAGCCCTCCTTGCCTCGCCCCCACTACCTTCCGCCCTACCTCCCGCCCATACCTCTCTTGTTAGGCTCTGCTCAAGAGCAAGGACGCAGAGATCGCGAAGGCCCGCGAGGTGGCCTCTACCGCAGCGGCCGCCGCAGAGAGTGAGGAGCTGGCGGCGCTGCGTCACCAGCTGACAGCGGCGCTGGAGGCCGCGGCGGTGGCGGAGCGTGAGGGGCAGGAGTCGCTGGAGAGGTCGGCAGCAGAAGCAGCGGAGGAGATTGAGCGGCTGCGGCTGCAGGTACGGTACATCGGGGTATAACCTTAAAAACAAGATGTGAGTGAGTGGGGTGGGGTGTGGGTGTGGCTGTTTGGGGAGTAAATGGGTAAGGGGATAATAAGAAGCGCGGGCTGTATGCCCCATATGTTACAAATTACAAGTTCCGCACAAGTGCGGGGGTTGTCCGTAAAAGCCGGGGAGGCCATGGGCGACCATATGGTGGCTCATATCTTTAGTACCTAACCCGTGTTGGCCTTACTTCTGTTTCACCTCCGCAATCTCTCCTCCCGCCATCCCTCGCCCTTTTTTCCGTGGTTTCCGCTGTATGTGGCCAAACAACCCCCGTCTCTCCCCCATTCTGCTACTTCCCTTGATTTTGCATATATATATTTCTCCCATCCTGTATGTCGACCCGCAGCTTGAACAGTCTCAGTCTTCGGTCGAATACTACCAGGGCCTTATGCAGCGAGCTCAGGCTTCCGCGGAGGAGTACGGCAGGCGTGTGGAGGCGCTTGAGGCCCGGCTGGCTCACCACAGCGCGGAGGGCGAGGCGGGGAGGAGGGCGGCCGAGGCCCTGGAGGCGGCGGATGCGCGGACGAAGGCCCTCATGGTGCGACGTATGTGCACACATGTGTATGTGTGTATATATACATACATATACATGAATGTATATGTATGTGCATGTAGATGTGAATGTGGATATGTGTGTGTCCTTTTGATGAAGTAAGCCGCGAGGAGACGGTGCTGGAGATGCCACACGAACACCATGCCCGTGCGATTGCGGAGTTGCGCTGAACATGAGCCATAGCCATGTCCACTCCTTATTCCACATCGTGCCACACGACGAGCTTCGTGTCCGCTTGTCTTTGCCTTCACCTCAAAACCCTAAACCCCCTTACCCCCTATACTCTCACTGTCTCGCACACTCTCTCCCTCCCTCCTATTTTCAGGAGGAGCTGGCTTCGTGTCGCGAGGAGCTCCGTTCCTTCAAGGCCTCCAGCGAGGCGCTGATGGAGGCTAAGGACGCCGAGGTGCTGACACTGGTGCGCAGGAATGCCGTGCTGCAGGTGAGTATCGGGAACATTAAAGTGGGGTAAGGGGAAGGAGGAGTTGGAGGAGGAGGAGGAGGGCGGGGGTCTTTAATGGGGTCCTTTCCAGGCGGAAAAAGGGAAGGAAATCGCACATTTGGACATCTGATCCAGCACATGGCACTCGCTTCAATCTGCCCAAGTTCTACGACCCGGTCGGGTCGGATCACGTTATTGCGCCTCCGGCTTTTCCCCGCATGCCTTTACCAACCGCCGGTAACCAACCTGCGGATCTTGTTTTTGCGGATCACTTTGTAAGCACCCCCGTCGTGTAGGAGGACGTGGTGGCAGCAAGACATGCCCTGGCAGCTGCGGAAGCCGTCGCCGCCGAGGCGCAGGCGGCCGCCAAGGAGGCTTGCGCGCAGGCAGACGCCGCCACGAAGCAGCTGGAGGCACGGGCGAGGAGGGCAGCTTTGTTGGACGACGAAGACCGCCTGCATGTGGGTTTTGGGGAGCTTGGGTTTTGGGGTGGGTGCTTTTGGATGGATGGTGTCCATCCATCCTGAGGCTTAGCATAGCATATGAAGGGCTCTATTGTGTAATGGCTCAGCAGCCTGTAACCCTCGTGTGCTGTTCCCACTGCTGCTGACCCTGTCGCATGTTACATGTTACGTGTCTATTCGTCATTCTCACGGTGTTCAGGCGGCCGCCCTGGAGGCGTACAACCCGCCGCCGGCGACAGGACCAACGGCGCCGCCGCACAGCAGCCATGGCCGCGCCCACGACTCGGCGTCGCTGCTCACCCATACGAGCGCTGACGGGCTACCCTCCCTCATCTCCAGCGGAGGAGCCTCCGGCACCGTCGGGGACATCCTGGGCAGCCTGATCCGCTCGGATGTTCAAGCCCTGCTGGGCTCAGGGCCCGGCGGCGGCAGCGGTGGCGGCGGCGGTGGCGAGGAGCTGCGGCTGCTATCTCGGGGCTCTGGGTCAGCGGCTGTGCTGCTGCCGCCGACGTCGGCGGGTGAGGCCATGCCCTCGGCGCTGTCGGTGGGTGACGGTTTGACACCGGTAGCTGTTGCGACGGCCGATGGCGCGCTGCCGTCGCCAGCGGTTTCGGCCGCGGTCTACGGCCGCAGCGGCGGCGGTAGCGAGGGGGGTGACGCCGTCGCCGCGCTTGCGGTGGCGCAGCATGAGAACGTTTCCTTGCGAGGCCACGTGGCGGTGTTGGAGCAGGAGGTTGCGGAGTTGGAGAAGGAGGTGGCCTTGCGGGAGGAGATGGAGCGGGCGCTGAAGGAGAGTGTGCGGGATCTGGAGCGGGCTATGCAGCGCCAAGCCAAAGGTCCGTGGGTCGCTGGGTCGCGTTGACCTGATGTGGGCCCGTGGGGTCAGGCCGAGGCGAGGAGACGTGGGTAGGGTGCGTGGGGGCCAGCGGCACGAAACTGTTTGGGGTTGGGTTAGGCCCCCCGGGTCTTTGGCCCCGAACCTCTTGGTTAACAATTATAGTCCATGGCCCCCGCGCTTTGACGGACACCCCCGCATTAATGGGAACTTGTAACTTGTTGTTAGCACACAAAGTTGTTAGCTGCCTTTGCAAAACAAGCCATTTTGGCGCATTTAAAACCTCATCACAAGCAGCCCCCCTCCCGTTCTTCCCTTATTGTCCCCCACTCGAAGGATCCAACGCGATCGACGCCGAGTACCTGAAGAACACGGTCATCAAGATGTTCCTGACCGGGGAGGCGGAGAAGCTGCTGCCCGTGTTCGCCACCATCCTGTCATTCAGCCCTGAAGAGGTCAAGAAGTGCAAGGAGGGCCTGGCGGCAATCAATAGGGTAAGTGGATAGGGTCACGGCGGGTGGTCACCGGTCAGGCGTAGCTCTGGGTTGTGGGTGGGTGGGTGGGTTGATGAATGGGCCTCCTAGGAAACCGTAGTCGTGGTGTTGATGGCGGTGGTGGCTTTGCAATGCCGATGCAGAAACAACCTCAAGTGATGGTACTACGAGTATCGTCAAAGAGGCTGTGAATTGGAAAGTTCCCGACTCGAGTCATGTCCGAGCTGTTTGTTTTCATTAGTGAATAGTTTGTCAACTTAAGGTATATTGTTTATTTTGTTTGTAGTAGATTTTGGATGGTGCGTTTACTGGCGCTAGGTAGCGATTTAGATTTGGGGGGTTTGAGCGGCGGCAGTGGCGGCAGCAGTGGCGAACACGGGTTTTACCGCACACCTTCCCTCCCACACCCAGACATTTATTTGTTGTTGTCTTAATCACCTCTCACCTCGATGGGTGAATGGCCGCCAGCCACGTGGGTGTTAGCTATATGCACGACGATTGCGAACCTTGTGTGTTTATACGATCCGCCTTCCTAGGGACCTTCCTCCCTCCCTCCTGCCCACCATCATCGCTGCACCACATCTTGCTCTCTTTGCGGTCTTGATTCTGCAGGGCGAGGTGCCGCTGCCAGCTGCCGCTGCGGCCGTGGATGCGTCACTGAGCGCCTTTAGCACCATCACATCATGGACTAGTTGGTTGGGAGGAGGAGGGGGGACGGCCAGTGGCGGCGGTGGCGGTGGCGGGGGCACCATGGGAAAGGGATAGCAGCATGTGGTTATGGATGCAGCCCCCAGAGCGACCGGGTGTTGTTGATAGGATAACGGGTATGGGTATGGGTGGGGGTTTCGGAGCCGACTGGAAAGCCGTACGGCGGGCAGGCAAGTTCGCGCAATATTTATAAACGGGCTGAGCACGCAACATTATCGGCGTTGCCGTCTTAGTGGGGTGGAGTGGAGTGGAGTGGGGTGTAGTACTCAACCGGAGGTGTGGAGGCTCCGTAGTGTTGGTAGAGAGGGGAGCAGCTGCCGGGAAGACGGCTTACGCAAGGTAGATGGATAGATAGGTTAACATCCCTAGGCGTGGCGGCAGCATCCTATTCATAATCAACCTGAAACCCTGTGTACACGGCACTTGGACGAGCGTGCGGGCAGCGGTGCATGGGGTTGCTGGGAAGAGAGGATGTTGGGGTCATCCACGCATGTCCTCAGCCTCAACGCAACCAGGACCGAGGTGTTGCGGTGCATACACCACCGCCATCACCGCCACATAGACGGCGCAGGAAGCTTCCAGCCCTGCGGGCATTCTGGGTGTGAAATTTCACATCACGAGCTTGTTGCGGGTTGCGGGGGTTTGACTAGCAGCCATGCGAAAAGCATGGAGAGAAGCTGGTATGGAGGTTGAGGAGTGTCTCAAAAGATTAGGCTGTTCAGTGCACTTTGTGTGTGTTTGTGTGCCGGCAGGGTACAAAAAATGTAGGGCGTTTTATGGCGACCCGGTCAACGCCGGACAAAGTTGGTGTGCCTCTTGGACGTGAGCTCTCCGGGGGGGGAGGGGACTTAACAGGGGGAAAATCTGCTTCCGGTACATTCGGTGTAGAGGCGTGATGCACCAAGGGTACCCTTCCGGCTTGGACACCCGGAGTGCGGATACCCCCTCCGATGCCGCTTAAGTGGTCTTAATTTTGGTGGAGGTGGAGGTGCGGCGAAGTGAAGAGGGGGGAAGGTGATTATCGATCAGATTCTGTCGAGGGGCCTGGACCGTTACTGTACGGCGCATGAGGCACACAACTTTCGACTGCAGCTAGCAATTACAGCGTCTGTCCTTGCCTATCGTAAAGGCACAAGGTACAAACTTATCAGTCAACTGGTATGACAACGACAACAATCAAACTTGATCTGTAAAACTGGAAACTACAACATCCGCAAGCAGTCCCGGCGTCCAGTGACCCGGAAGGAATACAAACCAACCATGCCTCAAGACCAATGCATACAACAAATTAGGCTCACGACAAGAAGCAACATAAGAACTTGACTTGGCAGCCTGGCAAACTTTAGGGGGTCACATGAACTCCTCCGTCCATAAACACTTTTAGCCCGAGTACACACAAGTGCCCCAATCGGGGCTGCTCACATTTAACTACGCACCAATTCACATAAAGAAGAAAGTATAGGAATAAAGTACACGTGCCGCACGGCAATGCTTGCAACCGTCTCGAACAGTCGCAGCAAGAAGCTACAGCCATCAACCAGTCCACTCGTCGATCCTGCAAAACTGAAGTGCTGTAGTATAACAGGCAAAATACTAAAGCTGCGGCCTCTCGCCGAGCCCTTGCGCCCTGTGCAACATGTCCCATTTGTGCTGATGCACAAACGTAACAAAATGGGAGCCATCCGAATCACGGAACTCCATGCCTTGCATACTAAACCTTTAAACGACGACTATGCGTTCCGCAGCGTGCCCAAAACTATGCCAATTGGGCTATTGCCCCCCGCGCCATGCGTCATAGAACCACATACTCCTCGGCGTCGATATCTTCTATTACCTCCCATTCATTCGCAATATGTTGGTCCAGCTTCGTCTGTGCGTGGCACTCCAGAGCGCGGTCGACGAAGGCGTTCAGGAGGCAAGCAGGCGCGGGACGCTCGTCACAGATTCCTGCGGCATCTTCCATTTGCTGGGGTGCCGTAGCGTTTCGCCGGCCTGCGCCAGCTCCAGCTCCCGTCCCCGTTGACACGGTGTCCCGATGGTGATGCTGCCGCTGTTCCTGACGCAACTCCGCTTGCGTTACTTCCCTCCAATAGATCCTGCAAGGAATTTTATTAAAAACCCAAGTATAGCCGCCGCTATCTGGTACTGAAACGACACCATGCCACAATGGCCATTAAAGCCCTAGATGCGAATATGGGTGGAAGCTTCACCAGCCATTGACCATTTCACGCAATGACCATGCTACAATTTTAGAATGTACCTGGAAGCGAACTGCTGCGAAGGCGAGCGCCCTGCGCGCGAAGGCTTGCGCGAGCGCGTAGGACGCCCGGACCGCAGAGTCCCGCTACGGCCCCGCATAGGCTTGCAATCGAGAACGGAAGACGAAGAATCATCAAAAAGCCGAGGGTCCGGCCGAATCTCCATGACCATTCGGACCATGTCTGGTTGTGTGTCTACTTTGACGGAATAACTAAGGGGCACCCCTTGGAGAACGAAGAATCTTTAATAAAATGCAAATGTATTATAAACAAACATGTCCATCAGTAAGATTTGTATTACTGCATTTGCCAGGCAAGGGATAGGGGAAAAGGCTTTATGGCCGATCGTACCCAACCGACGACCGGACTTCGTACCAGCGAGATCCAGAGAAGGGTTGGGATGGTGAAACGCTGCGTACTGCTCGACACTGCTTCACAGAGTATACTATGTTTAAACTCATACAAAATAGGAAATGATATTTATAGCTTATTGTCGAGGTACTTCGCTAGCTGCTAGGCATAACCAGGACGTTTGGAGATATCTCAGCTCTCTAGGCATGGTTACCCTCGTTTTAGTAAGGTGGTATGTGTAGCAGCGCAGAAGGTGGTGCTCTGTCGTGGCTCCTTGACAGCCGGGGCCATGCAACGAAGGCTTGACGATTCAGCTTTAAGCCTTTACACATACAACTCATCAATACCCTATGGGCAGCAGGGTTTTGTGCCAGGGCTTCTCTCAAGGCCAGCCCATTCCGGTCGCACAACATCGCCGCATGCACAAGATTTGACATCTTCCGGCCCAGGGGATGTGTGCGCGGGCCTGCGGCCCAGGCCACGTCCAGCGCCTCCATCCACTTCGCAGCCGCCTTCTTGGCTGCCCCCTGGTGCTTCCCTCAGCAAAGCCTCAGCCGCGCACCGCGCACACCGCGCGGCATCCGCGCCCTATCAACGCCAACGCAGGTCAGCAGCATCGCGAAATGACAGGAGCACCACAGAGCGCACTTTGTGTGAAGGTGACATGCAGTCATCCCAAAGGTGGCCCTCGCCGCAGCCCCTGGGCAGCACCGGCAGCACCTGGGGAATGCATAGCCAAGCCTACGAGTCCGCGAAAACTGCACGGAGGGGGGTCAACAGCCCTTCGCGTACACACAGCGATGGGCGAAGTCCCCCGACCTGGCCCGAGACCAAGTATCATACTTCCCAACAAGCCTCTGCACATCCTGTGAAGCCGGACACGAACCAAAAGTTGCGTGGAGTCGCCGAAAGGACAAAGCTTCGTCGGCCTGCGCTGGCTGCCATCACAAATACGATTCCAAACGGTGAGGGTAGTCATGGGTACATATGTCCGCACGGCGAAGGTCAGGGGAAAATGACTATTGGTAAAGCGATTAGCTGACTGCAAAGATTGTGTCGTGATGTGGGTCGCCTTTCCTTCTGCAAGGAAAATTTGATAGCCACTGGGGGACCGGCAGCCAGCTGCCACCCGCTCCAATCCTCCAGCGATACTTCCTCAAACCCCCTTTAGCAGGCGGCCACAGCTGACATGTGCTTTGTGCCTGGGGAAGGGCACGGTGCACCCCACCCGTCATGCACAATGTGCGTTCTATGGCTTAGTTCCTACAACCAGAAGCAAAGCGCTGCTGCTGCCTCATTTCCTTACATGCATCAAGCCCACGGGCCTGTCATTATCGCAACTACCGAACCGGGCTGTAGGCAACAATAGTTAGATGTCTCGCAGCAATTGTTGGATGTTGCGCCCTCTTACTTGGCCCTCCACTGCCCGCCCTGCTGCTGCGCTTCAAGTGTCAGCTCGGGATGACTCTCTGGGTTCAAGGCCGTCGGCACTGGGGCCCCACGACCGATGTAGTCCCTTGGAGCAGTACCCTATCGCGCACCACCGCACGGGTGGTGATGAGCTCACGGCGCCGGGCTTCACGGAAGGCCGGCCACTGCTGCCGCCGGATGGGAAACCCTTCGATAGCCACCATAATCGCCCCGGTGCGGCGGCGGAGCAGCCCCAGCGACAGCAGCAACACCAGCATCGGCATCAGGACGAGGGATCCCCAGCGACCGGCGCTGCGGACTATCTTAATGAGCAACAGCATCATCAGTTAGAGTGGTCCCCGCATGCTGGAGTACGAAGACAGCGGCAGATCCAGCACCGGAACGAACAGCACCAACACCAGCACCAGCAGGACTCGGATGACGGGATGGCGGCGCCACGTCTAGCGCCATGGCTCTTAGCAGACTACTACGACACGGCTGACCCAACAGCGTCGCACGCAGCTACCACCGCCAATGGCACCATCGCAAAAAGGACCCCGTGCATGCCGCCGATCCCGTTGCTGGCCACAGAGGATAGCGGGACTGCGCCATTTTCTTGGGCCAGAAGCAGCCTTCCCAGCCCTGTTGGGACACTGCTGGCGTCCCTGGAGGTGTCGCGCGAGGCGGATGCGGACCACTTCGAGCCTGAACAGCGCCGAGCAGGTTACGGATGCCGATCCGACAAGGGTGGTCTAGGCGCGTCGGGCCAAGCACCAGGGTTCTCTTTGGCTGTCCCTGGGGCACCCCCGAGTACGGCCACGCCGCAGATCCGGCCGTTAACACCCACGCAACTAGGCTACGCCGCCGCAGCTGCGCCGCCGCCGCCGCCGCCACTGCACTCGCACAGCTTGCACCACTTCCCGTGTCAGCAGCAGCTGCAGCGGCGCCAGGGGGTCCCACATGGCCCGGGGCAAGTTGCATCACAGGACGTTAGCAGCGGGGCTGCTGCCTCCCGGCTCGGGGCCGAGCCTGCAGCGGCACCGGCACCGGCGCCGTCCTCCATGCTCGGCAAGCGGGCTGTGCCAGCCGTCATGAGCTCTGCTGGCGACATCCGCATGCTTCTGTCGCCGCCGGAATCAGGACGGGAGGACCACTTGCTTTCAGTAGCCGCGGCCGCGGGCTGTTTCGCTTCCTCCCCGACTTCCTGGGCCGGGCTGAGCCCTGCACTTCCGCTCGGACGGCCGAAGGCGACGACTGCGGGTGCCTCAAGGCAAGCGGAGTCGCCGAGTCGGATCGGCGATGGCGCCAGCGCCAAAGTTAGTCCCATTAAGGCTGCCGCGTCCCCGCCGCGTTCCCTACACACCAGCCGCCATCGCGACCTGTTAGCGTACCAAACGGCTAGGTCGTGCGGCGCCACACCGCCGCCGCCAGTAGGCGATGGCCAACCATCCACTCACCAGCATCATCAGCAGCATCAATCCCGGCGCCACCCGCAGCCGAAGCCTCAACTGCCAGATCCTGGTCATGAGCTTCACCACCGCGACCTGCAACCCCTGCATGTCCAGCAATCTCAGCAGCGGCAGCAACAGCAGGTACCCCACCTTCGTGACTGCTCACCCGAGCTGCGGCAGAGCGCACCTGACCCGTGCTCCTATCCCCTCTTCCCTGCGTCCGCGTGTAGCCCTCGGCTACAGCAACACGCCAGGGTCAGGGGTGGCGCCGCCGCCGCCGCCGGAGGCGCAAGCGGCGGGGCTGGGCCGTCTCCGCGGCCCTGGTCGTCAGTGTCCGTGTCCGTATCCCCCCGGGATCTTCCGTCGCCGACTTACCTATCGCAGGTTGTTTCAGGACCAGGATCCAACATCCACACGGAGGCCCCACCGCCCATCCCAGCGGAGTGGCTGGAGGGGTTCGAGGAGCTGCTGCAGCTGCTCTCCCCATGCCCTTCCGCCACCGCCGACGAGCAAGTCACTTCCAGACATGGGCTTGGACCTAGGGTCGGGCCTAGGTTTGGGCCTGAGCACGCTGCTGCCGCAACCGCGGTTACCGGAGATGGCGACGGAAGGAGGCGGCACTCTCCCCGCCCACATTCGTCACCATTGTTGTCGCCCGGCAGGCTAATGGCGGCCTCGTCTGCACAGGAGCCGCGCAGCCAGCGCGATGCAGTGACCCAGCAGCAGCAGCATCTACTGATGCTGCATCACCACAGCACCCAGACGCGCAGCCAGGCCCCCTTCTCTCAGTACCAGCAGCAGTATCAGCAGCATCCATACCCCCAGCAAGGACCTGCCCCGCAGCACGCACAGGGTCAGGGCCAGGTCCCGCGGCCCTCACCGCTGGCCCCAGCACAGCTGTCGCCCAAGCACCAGTCGCTGCCGCTGGCAACGGGGGAGCCGAGCGTGCGAGCGCAAGGCAGGGAACGGGGGCAGCTCCCCGGGGAGCACGCACCCCGCACGTACAGCCCAGGGCGGTCACAGCAACAGCAGCAGCAGCAGCCGCAAAGGGCGCAACATCCACAGCAGGGGGGACGGGCTTCCGGCCAGGCGTCGCCGTCTGCGCGCAGCGGCCTCACCCCTGGCGGTCTATTCCGACGCAACATGCCTGCAGCGGCGGAATCGACTTTACCGCCGCAGCAGCACGCAGCTGCTGACATTGGTGCCCCTGGGGTATTGCCCTGGACGCCGCCTGGCGTGGCGCCTGTGGGCATGAGGCGTTTCGGCGCCCAGCCGCAGGAAGAGCCCCATCTGAAGCGGCAAAGGTCGCCAGGGCGCCCGAACTCCGGACAGGGTCATGGACATGGCCCGGGACAGGAGCCGGCTTGGCGTGGACTGTGGGGACACGAACCGCCGAATCGCGGCAATGGCCGGAGCGGAGCACCTGGAGCCGCTGCTAACCCTGCCGCTGTCGCCAGCGCGTCTCAGCATAAGCAACGGATACAGCAGCAACCACAAAACTGGGGCCCGCAGCAGCAGCAGCAGTACTATCAGCACCATGGGCAGGAACAGCTGCCGCCGCGGGAATTAGGTAGTGCGCAGCACTCGAGCTTTGACGCGGTCGCAAGCGTCATCGCGGGGCGACTGCTGCGGGAAGCTGAGCAAATGGGTCTTGCGGCCACGGCGGCCAATGGCAGAAGCGGCGCAGGAGCGGGACATGCGGAAGCAGCGGAGAGCGGTGGAGTTGACAGCAGCGGCTGCGTTGTTCGGCGACAGCGAGGGCCGGGACAAGGGGCGGCGCTTCTATCCTCACAACCCGGTGGAGGGCATGATAGGGGCCGTGGGACGAATGCCACTGCCGCCGCCACAAGCGCCGGCGCATCTTCTGGCTTTCCTGCGGCCGAGCGGAGCCCTGCTGTAGGCCGGGCAGCGGTCATCGTGGACTGCGGAATGCCCGAGGCATCGCCGCGATTGGAGGCCGTGGATGAGTTTCTGGGTCGCTGCAGGGACGACCTGGTGCCAAGGAGCCCGGCTCGGGCAACCGGGTAGGTTTGGCGACCTAGCATGGTCTCAAGGGGGTCGGAAGGGGATGGAGCAGGAGAGATGAGAAGAGGTCGAGCTGGGGTAGGTCTGCGGCTTCCGGAGTCGATGCACGGCGCTGGCATCGGCGGTGTGGGACAGCAGACAGACCACAAAACACTGGTGGTCGTTTTTAACACACCAACTAATACGGCCAGGTTTCCAGTGCAATGGCAACGGCGCCGGCGTGCCCTCCGTGTGCGAGCATAGGCGGCTTCAAATCGTGTGGGTTCCCTCCATGTGACAGCACCGGTGATGGCGTGGCGTCCTGATAGGGTTTAGTGGTGTGGATACCTTGTTCGGATACCTTCGGACTCCCTCTTGCATCTTTCGCAAAGATTTGCGGTTCCGGCCAGGGCCCGTTAACTTGCCCTCATAATCCCCAATCTCACGCACGGCCCTCGCTCTTCTGCGCCTTACAGCTCCCCGTATCTCATCCTACTTCCTAATCCCGCGGCTGCCGCAGGTCCAGTCCGCCGCGCGCACAGAGCGCTGGCCATGTTGTGACCCATAACATGTCGGACGTGCGGGCCGCGGACCAGAACCGACCAGGCACCGCGGTGGACGCCCGCTGGCACGACCCCGGTGTGTACCCCCCCCCCGCCACCCTTTCCCTGCTCTTATGTAACGATGGTGATGGCGACGGCCATCACCGTCCCCTGCGTTTTAGCCACTGTCTCTTTCTCCTTAGTCTGCCAATACGTGCTTGCATGGTTACCTTGTACCTGCATGTGACTATGCATCCAGTCCGCACCGGTTCCCATCCTAGCAACTCGTAGCATTTTTCCAACAAAGCGTGTGGTTGAGGTGGTGGCGCTGCCGGGAGGCGCCGGGGTAACAGTAGGGTTGCCCAGGATGCTTGCCATGTCAGGGCACCAACGCCGTAGGCTATGGGGGGGTTACATGGGGGCCGGGTCCGGGGGAGAAGGAGGACGTGGGACATGGCGTGGCAACGCAACATGGGGCTGGGACCAGGGTTGGGCCTGGGTATCGACCTGAGCATCGACCTACACGTACCCAAAAAGGGGAAGGGGGGAACCTACCGAATAGGCATTTATGTGCATGGGCGCGCGTGCGCCGCGTGCTGTGATTTCCGAGAATGGTAGTCCGCTCTGAAGTAGGCGCTCCCCCTTCATCCCTCCTCGAGCTTAACCACATATATCTGCGATGCAGGGAGATCAGTACAGTTGCAATCCGTTTGGAAAAACTGGGGAACAGCTGAGATGCAGACAGAGCAGCCGCCTGAATGCGCAAAGCCGTCGCGCCAAGAGCAGCTGCAGCGACAGCAACAGCAACAGCAGCGGCAATTGTTGCTTTCACGGCAGCGCACCGCGATACTGCAGTTGTCGCAGCGTGTTTTCGCAGGCTGGCGCCGCCAGGTTCGTTCTATCATTCCGCCCTCCGCTTTCCCTCAGTCCCTATCCCGTCTTTCCGCCATGTCCCTTTCCTCCCTTCTTTCCACCCTTTCTGCGTCTCTCCCGCCCTGCGCACCGGGATGTCAGCGGTTTTGCAGTTCTGTCAATCCATCACGTCACTCCGACTGCAACCTGCGCTCCGTTACCCGACACACACGCCAGTCCGCCTCGTCGTTCGCTTCCTCTCCCCTCCATGCCAGCGGAGTATCTCTCACCTTGCCAGCCAACGACAGAGCCCTCCTTGGACACATCCTCATTGCGTTCCATTTACCCCTCAACTGTACGCAGGACATGCGCATTCTTGCTCACCATCATACACACATACATACATACACCCGTAGCTCGCCTCGTATTCGCTTTCCTATCCGCACGCCAGCCTTCATGTCCATCCCCAAGCCTGCCTGCATAACTTTCGTGCTGAAAGACTGCACGCCAGTCCACCCACTCGTAATATTGCAAGCCTAACCTCCTACCTGCTCGCCATTCCATAAGCCTGCTTGGCTGCCCACCTACACCTGCCTGCCTGCCTGCCCGCAAACAAACCGCTTTTGGCAACCGCTAGGTGGTGATACGGCGGCTATGCTTCGGCCTAGAGTTTCGACGCGGTCAGCGGCTACAGGCCGATGTGCTCAGGGCATGGGAAGACGTGACGCGGAAGCAGCAGGTGCGTGGTCTTTTGCATGCGTGTGCCGATGTGCCTGAACACGCAGAGTACGGTAGGATCCGGCGTCGGATCAGTCTGCGGCCTGCCGCCGCAGTCGCCACGTCAGCCATCCACCGCTACGTCAGCGCACTGAAGAGGAGGCCGCGCTTCAACGCCGATTCGTCAGCAGAAGTTATAGCTGTTGCAATAATGGCCCTGCCCGTATGCCATGCCCGAAGCGGCGGCGGCGTTCCAAGCACTCCAAAGCTGTTGTGGTGTGTCCCCCGACGGTGGCGCTGACTATGCTGGGGATCGGTTGTTGGGCCCCGCAGGCGCGCCGCCAGAGCGCCTGGGCCACGCTGGCGTCACTGAGGCTGCTGCGCCTGCTGCGTAAAGCCTGGCTTGCATGGAATCGCGCGCATACCACCAGCGTCCATGAGGCACGTGGGGCAGTGGTCCATTACGCGCGCAGCTTGTTGGCTCGTGCGATGCGCGGCTGGATTACTCGTTGGGCGCAGAGGGCATCGGTGCGGGTGCTGCTGAGTCACCGCACCACTGCCATGGCGCGGGCTTGCCTAGCAGCCTGGCGGGAGGTCGCCCTCCGCTCAGCGCTGGAGGCCGCGGAGGCTACCGCTGCGGCGGCGGCGGCGGCGGCGGAGCCGCAGACGGCGGGAGTAGAGGCAATGGGGGCCTGGGCTTGGGACGGCAGTGGGCGGCCATCGCAGCCTACGTATGCGCATTTGCGTCACAGCCTGCAGCACCAGCAGTGGCCGCCAGGGGACCAGACGCTGCAGGGATACCCCGATAAAAAGGTGCCATCTGATAACACGCAGCATGGGCAGCACATGCAGTTGGCGGGTGCTTCCCCGCTAGGTGCGGCGGCTGAAGCTTCAGAGGCGCGGGCAGGGGGGCCCCACCGCTCGCTGGCGACATGGATGGAGACCAATGAGGAAGGGGAGGAGGAGGCGGAGGAGGGGGAGGACGATGAGGTGCAGGAGCTGGAGTACGGGCGTGGCGTGTATCGCGCGCTGCGGCTGAGGAACTGTTTCCGGGCCTGGCTGCTGCTGACGGACGCGGCGATGCAGGTGAGTCACTTCCGTGGGGTTGGGAGCTGTGGCACGGAAGCTGAGCTGTGACGACCTAGGTCAGGAGTGGGTCAGGATGTGTCAGCCATGTGTTGGAAGGGCATCGGCGCGTCAGTCCGCGGCTAGGAGTTTGGAGTGTTATCCAGCTCTTTCTTCCGGCTTTTACGGACGTCCCCCCCCACTTGTGTGGAACTTGTAGGTCATGTCGCAGCAGCAGGCGTTGCGCCACGTCATGCATGAGGAGCTCCTCCAAGACGCTGCCCTGTGCGCCGCCGCCGCCGCCATCGCGCGTCACCGCTACCTAGCACCTGCCCTTCACGCTTGGAGAGCGCTGGTCGCCGCCGCGGCCACGGCCGCGACGCCGCCGCTGACGTCACAGACGTCGGCTACGAGCGCCAGCAGTGCTGCCCGCGAGCCGGGACCCCAGGTGAACACCACAAAGGGCCCCGGAGAGCAGCCACAGCCGCAAAACCTCCCGCCGATGGTGAACGCGATGGGAGTCAGGAGGGATCCCATGGCGGCAGCGGTGCTGCCGCCGCTGCCGCCGCCGCCGCCACCATCCCAACGCGGAGTCGTTGTCCCATGGGTCGCAGGTGGTAGCGCGGGCCTGGGTCCAGGCAGCGGTCCGCATTTTCACGACACTCGAGTGGCTGCTACCGCCGGCGCGATTGCAGGCACGGATCGGCTTGATGTCCAGCGGTCCAACGGTGGCGGAGGCAACAGCAGCCGCAACAGCAGCGGTGGCAGCGACGCCAGCGGAGCCAGCTTCGAGTTCGCAAGGCCTGTGCCGAACCAGGCTAGACACCAGCCGCAGCAGCAACAGCAGCAACCAGCGGGCGGCACACAACTTGGTGTATTGGAGGTGACACCTCGGGGTGAGCGACTCCCTGCTCCTGGCCTGGAGATTCGGTCCTGGCCCGCGCCCGGCCCCTCCGCCACTGCACCTGCAGCCGCCGCTGCGCAAGCCGCTGGGGGTATCCGGCGCAGCATCGACCCCAACCTTCTGCAGGACCCGCCCCTAGCATGCTCCCAGCCCTGTGCCCCGGTCCCTGACCCGCAACCCATTGTTTCCACGGCCGGAGCGTGCGCTCAAGGCCACGGCAGCATGCAGGGCGCCGCTGCAGGCTTCCGGTCAATTAGCAATGCTGGCATAGCCGGAACCCCAGCACCGAGCGGCGTGCCGGGCCTCGGGTCGGGCCCTGGCCTCTCCCAGAGGACCAGCGCGGGCGGTGGGGGGCCCAGTGCGCCCATGAACACGCCTCCTAGCGTGCACGCGGCGCGGCTGGTTCAGAGCCGAAGCGGCGGCGGTGGGCCAGACCAATCTAGCGGCAGCAGCGGCGGTGGTGGCGCCGTTAATCCGTCCGGAGGGGACGATCTAGCTGGAGGGCGGGCGGTGTTGGAGGAGCTGGCACCGGACGCATTTCTCGAGCTGCTAGAGTCAGATCTGGCCTGGTACACGGAGCAGTACCTGACGCCACCGCAGCCTGGGAGGGGCAGCAGAGCAGCGACGCGAAGCGACGGCGGCAGCTCCAGCGGGGGTGGCGGTGGCTTCGGCGCAACGCCAGTGGTAATGAGCGGCTCCTATGATGGGCAAACACCAGCACGAGCGGTGACGACGGCGACTACGACAGCGTCGGCGGTCACGGCACCATTGCCACTCACGGCCGCGGCCGTGGCGGGAAATGTTGGACTGCGAACCGAGGTAGCGGCGGGTCTAAGCCCGATGGTTGTCGTGGCAACTGGATGCATGGCGGGCACGCCGCCGCCGGCGGCTGTAGCGCACCAGCCAGTGTCAGCTCGCGTGCCGCTGCTGTCAGGGCCACTGGCGGAAGGTGAGCCGCAATACGCTGGGAAGCGCCCGAGTCGTCCGGGCCGTGGTAAACCATAACTGGGCCCAAGACCTAGGACGCCCCGTGTCCGATTGCGCCTACTTCTGTCGTTATGGCACTAGGCCTCTTGCTGCTCTCCTTGCGCGCAAGGGTGGCATAGGTGGAGTGACGAAATGGAGTGGGTGACAGCCAACCTAGGTACTTAGGTTAAGACTTGGTCTGAATCCTGCCTCTGCCTGCCATCCACCCCCCTGCTGCGGGCTGAACCTGGGTTTCCTCCGGGGCTGCGGTGTACAGCAATTATTCTGCCCTCTTGCAGCGCTGTCCTATTTTAACCCGAGAAGCGGGTTGCTTCCTAGCCACCCTGCTCTGCTACTAAATACTAAAGGGTCATGACTGTCGCGGGACGCGGCTGCAGGTGGTTGGGACCCGTCAGCAGGCCCGCCAGGCCAGGGGAGCGCTATCCAAGCCCCTAGTGGCGGTGACTGCGCAGTCATGGGCGGCCGCGTGCAGAGCAGGCAGGCGGTGCACAACGAGCAGGGCCACGGCCGTCCCCCTTCCGGTGTCATCTGGTATCCGAACCCATCCTTCGAGGATGAAGACCAGTCGCAGGAGGACCATGTTGTCACCTCCAGCACTTCATTCGAGGGGGCGGTCGCCAACCATTATGGAGGTGACGCGGTAGCAGAGGAACACCCGCAACAATCACAGCTTTTATTATCGCCGCCGCCACAGCAACAACAACAGCAGCAACCTCAGCAGCTCTACCCACAAATGCAAAGCTCTGGTGGCGGTTGCATGGCGGCCCAGGATGGCGCACAGGGGCAACCGCCCCGTGCGGACAGCAAACTGGGTCGACGAGTGGGGTCTGGATTTCGACGCAGTATCGGCAGCGGCGCCGACGGCAGTGGCGGTGAGCTGCCGTTCAACGACAGTGGGCCGTGGCCACCGATGGGGGCCTACGTGGCCTCTCCAGTGGCCAGCGATGACGACATGCCGTATAAACGATATGTCGCCCTTCCTGGAGACTCGGGGCTGCTGCGGCTGCGGGGTGACAGCTGGCAGCCGGCCGAGAGGAATTAACATGGCGTCGCGGTGCCGCAACAGGTCATACTCAGGTGGTTGTCCATCTGCTGCGGTGGTGTGGAGTGTAGCGGGGCTTGGTTAGCTTGCCATAGCCCACCGGTGTGCAATAGGGACGGGATTACAGTGCGGAAGGATGCTCCGGCTGTTAAGGACGCAGAGTATATATAAAACAAGTGGCCACACCTATAATGTTAGGATTCATGACAATCGTCCGTTATTAGACGCGCACTGGCACGCATTGAGTACTCTGATAACTCGCCGATGAACCGTGAATGTCCGTACATCGCCGTCGTGGCGCTCTCATTGCCGTACGTGAGATCTTTCGCGTTCGTGGGAGGGGACTGCGGATATACACGAACGGACCAGTTACGACACTGCGAACGTAATGGTAAATAATTTGCCATATGTCTCCCGCACTAGACCAACATTGCAAGGTACATGTTGCGAAGTGAATGGCCCACCGCCGTGTGTCGCTATGCCTACATGAAAGCGTTCATCAAATGTGAGTTCGTCAAATTTATCGAAAGAACCCACGGTAGGGCTCTGATCAGTTTAAGGGACATTCCTCATACAAATGGCCCCAAATCAACGTACGCATGCTCTAGGGGTCTTAAATAACATAACAGGTCCTCATGCCAAATCTGTACGGATGCTCGCCAAGGTTCGGTCGGGGAGGACCTCAACGGCCATGTGCATCCATGACGGATAGGAAAGGGGATAAGGAATGAACCGCCCGCCAAGGAACCAAGTCCTACGATGCAATACATCAACGATCAATGACCCAATGCTCAGAACCCCGTAGATCGTAACGGGAATGCCGGAACTAAGACAGCGCCCTAACAAGAACCCGCTGCCGACTTGGAAAGGCGGGTGGTTACGCCTACTCGCAATAAAAAAATCAGCAATGCTAACAACTTCACAATCAACGAATGCATAAGTTATGACGGGAAAAAAACGGAAGACCTTTATTAATATCGACACGGCCAGCCTGTTTCCCCCAAGGAAATTATCACCCTGGCTAGCCATCGCGGGCCAATCAACCGCAGCTGTGAGACCGCGGCAGGAAGTAGTGACCATACCAGGTCCCAAGCCAAGAGGAACCACGAGCTCCACCGGCTCTCATCTCCTGTCATCCAACTCGCTGTATCACGTATTATCTCATTCATCCCCAGCAGAGGGCGACACCTTCCACATACAGAGAAAATAACATTCCCGACTACAGCTGCACAAATCTGTTGCGCCTCTACACATAACGCTGCTCAGTTATGGTTTTAGTGTAACATCGCCACCGTTGCCGTTGCCGTCGTCAGACCCCTTCTCCAGCAGATTACCGCCGGGTACTGTCTTTCGCAGCCCTTCCAAGAATGCGACCTTTGCGAGTGACAGCGACTGGACAGCCTCATCTTCACGCTCCACATCCTGAATCGCACCCAGAAATCCCAGCGGTGGCGACGGAAGACCGCCACCGTCGGGGCCGCCACCCCCATAGCCGTTCGCACCCTCCTCATGGCCGTTCCGCGCACGTCCGCTCATCGGCAGCCAGCCACGGGGCGTTGTACGCTCGCCGCCGGGCGCCGCCGTTACGGCCGCCGAGGAGCCGCCACAGCCTCCAAAACCGCTGATCCGGTGGCGTGCGTGGGCAGCGTGGGACTGCATCGCTATGACCGCACTGGTCGCCGTGGCGTTGGCGGCGCTGCTGCCGCGCCGGAACGGGATGCCGACGGGCAGGAGTGGCCTCGCGTCAAATGGGCTCGCCATGGCGCTTGAGTCCAGGGCCGAATTGCCTCCTACGTTGTCGGCCCCGGTGGCAAGCCATTGCGCTTGGTTGGCGCTATATATATCATGCGCCTGCGGAGGCGGGAGCAGGCCTTCTCAGTAAGCGGAACTTGCGACTCGCAACAATATAAATGAAAAACAATGAACTTGGGCCCGAGGTTTCTAAGCGGCAGCTGGTTCAAATGGGATGCGCAGATACCAGCAGGCAGAGAAACGTCCCGTGGGTCGGCTTCCTAAGAACGATCTTCATTCGCAGTGCCACGCGGCAGACTGCACACCCCTTCACCTCTGGATACTTGGCCAATATGTGGGTTGCAACCCGGCCCTCGTCATCAAGCGCCAAGGCGACATGCAAAGGCGTCAGCAGCAGCACGCCGCCATCCACAAGCGTCCACTGAGACTCGAATGAAGCCCTCTCGGCTTCCGTGCCTCCACCCCCGCCACCATTACCACCACCGCTACCGACTGCCGCTGCGCTCGAGCACATTAGCCGGCCCTTCTCCAGATCCGCCACAGCGGTCGATACGAACGGTGCCGCCGCCGGCCCCGCCGCGAACAAGGCCATGCGGTTCTGCGTCGGGAACGCGGCGGAAATTTCGCTGCCGCCACCGTAATGGAGAGCGTTCGTAACCCGTGCATCATAAAGCGGTTGGTGCATGAACCCGTCGGCCGCCGCCGTCGCCACCGGTTCCTTGGCGTCGCGGGCATTGCGCGGAAGCACCTGTACGGCACTTGACGCATCAGTGGTTTCGGGGCGAAGGCACACCACCTTGAAAGGCGCGGACAGCCCGACGGCCGGCTTCTGGCCCGGCGGCGGCGCCAGGTCCGCGGCGGCAACGGCCGCAGCCACGGAGACACCTGTCGACGTGTATGCGGCGGCGATAGTGGCGGCGGCGACAGCCGTAAAGGTGGAGCGGGCGGCAACCACCGCCATGGCCCCCTCGTCCGCCGGGTGCGATGCCGTGCGATTTGATGAGCGCGGAATCGGAACTGCCGGCGCTGGCTGCTGCCGCCCAGCTGCATCTGGCTGCTGCTGTGGCGGTCGTGTTAGCGATGGCACTGACGGTGCTGCCACACTGTGGGGTGGGGACTGCCGGATTGTTTCTAGCAGGAAAGACCTGTGACAGGCAGGCAGGGAGGTAGGCAGGGAGTTAGACAGGTAACAACAGACGGGTAGGGAATCATAGCGTATGGCAGGAATGCAGAGGCGGCGGAAGCTGAACACCACAGTCCATGCATGCCCACTTATAAGCGGGACGCAGGATTTTCGGGGAAGCTATCCAGCCCTCCCCTCTTACCCCGTCAAGCTGACATCGCTGCCGTCGGATAGCCGGCCCTTCGGCAAATGTTGCAACCCCAACGGCACCGACGTCAACTTATCGGGCTCTCGTCCGCTCTCGGCCACCGCGGCTGCATCGTCAACGTCGCTGTCGCACGCAGTCATGAACAGGAGCTGGTGCTGTCGCTCTGGCGGCGACGGTGACGGCTGCGGCTCTGCCACCATCGCCGCAGCTGTGACCGTTGCATCCGGTTCAGAGAGTGGCGGCTGCGGCTGCAGCGGCGGCGGCGGTGCCGCCGTCGCCATCACCGTCGCCGCTGCAGTTGATCCGGCCACAGCGAAGCCACCGACGGCCGCCACGAAGCTCGGGCTGGTGAGATGTGTGGTCGTGGAGGCACCTCGTCGTAAGCCACAGCCCTGGACGCGCGGCTCCAGACTCACGGCGCGTACGACAGCCTCCCTGGCCCATATCTCATCAACGCCAGCACGGGTCTGCCAGCCTACCACCACGTCCACCTGCGTCCCCAAAGACCAGAGAGAGAGAGAGGGAGAGAGAAAAGAGAGAGGGAGGTTAGTGGGGGAGTTCGTTACCTCACCTAATCTTGCTCCTGCGAGGACAGATAACACCGACCCTCGCCTCTTTCGTCGTATATAAGGATGAGCTCCAAGACAACATAGACAACAAGACAACAAGGATCAGACAACAAGACAACAAGGATCAGCTCCAAGACAACCGTTGTGCATTTGGCACAGATTGGTGGATCAGTCCCTGCATCCGTTTCCCCTTGCCTATCAGTCCTTCTGCATTTCTCGCTAGTCTTAACATACGCTTGCCCACCCCACCCGACCCCAACCCCGCACCATCTCAGTGCAGCCGCTCTTGACCGCCGCGTGCAACAGCGGCAGCCCCGTCACCGGTGTGACCGCCGACTCCAACGCCGCCGCTGTTTCCGCCCCCAGCGGCCCCAGCAGCAACCCCAACAGGTGCTCCGCTAGCGCCACACAGCCCGCCTCGACTGCCACCGCCAGTAACCCCTGGCCCTGGCACAGCAGCAACTGCCGAATGGTAGCCGATGCAGGGTCAGGTGGCGGGCGGGGTACCGGAGGTGATAATCCTGAGGCCCCAACCTCCTCCTTCTCCTCCGGTGCCGCAGCCGTCCCGCCACTGCCGCCAGGACCCTGGCGCGGCTGCGGCGGCTGGGCCCCGCCGCCGCGGCTGCCGTCGCCTGCGGTGGCCGGCGCCGGCCTCGGCGCTGGCCTGGATTCCGGCTGGGGTGCAGCGCACGGTGGCACCCACCTGGCGTTGTGCACTCGCAGCACTCGGGTGATGCGCTGCGCCGCGGCGGCGCCGGCGCAAAGGGTTCCGGATCCATCCGGTGTGGCCGTGAGTCCCCGCTGAAAGGCCGCCAGCTGTGCGAGCCAGCCACCGAGCTCTTCCACAAACTGGTCGGCAGCAGAGGCATGACCTTCAGACTGCAACGACGGGGGAGGTAGTAGGCGCAGCGGCTGAACAACAAAGTTGATATCGGTGTGGACAAGACATAAGCGACGTTAGGTATGCAAACTTGCGAGGTGGGCGAGAAAGGCCAGCCACAATGATTTAGGTGGCTTGGACAGTTCTTATTGACCCATGAACTGGCCAGCCAGGAACCAGACATACAACCAGACAGACAGACAACCAGACAGTCAGTCAGTCACAATTCGCAACTGTCCGTTAGCTGTTGTATGGGGGAAAGCTGCTATCGTGGCGAGCACACTCACGTTGACTGTTCCCAGGTAGGACACCACATCCTGTAACCAATGGGGCAGATCAGCACCCTGACCCGCCGCAGCCGTCGACGCCGCCGTCAGAGCCGCCTCCTTTACCTGCAGCGGCGGTGGCGGCGGCGCCACCGCCGTCAGCAGCACCGGCCGCGCCGCCAGCCGCCGGTGTCTACGCCAAAGCTCCACGTGTACGACGCCCGGGGCGTCCTGGGTTGCCGCAACCATCGTGAGCTCGGCGTCGAATTGCAACGGTGCTCCAGGGGGCCGCTGTACGTGGGCGGCGGCGGGAGCTGCCAGGGTCCGGGTAATGACGGTTGCGGGGCTGGCGGCGTGCACGCCGCTTGCCATGGAGGCGGGGGAGATGTGGCGCAGTACGACCTGAATGCAAGCCGCGCCGGACACACAAGAAGAGGACGTGGCGAAACGGGCTTGGACTGGGCGTTTCATAGTGGCGGGCACTTCACTGTGCGATTTCGTGAGAGCACGTATTGTGATACGACACGCGGAGTTCCTGCTGTTGCTGTGACTACCGGTTCTCACCTGGAGCTCCTCAACCACCCTGGCAGTGCACGTAAACGTCAGGTGCAGTACAGACGTACGGCGCGGTGCGATGGCCAGTACGCATCCGTCTAAGGCGATATCCCACGGGTCGGCTCCGCTGCTGCCGCCGCCGTCACCATCGCCGTCAAGAACGCCGCCACTGCCGCCGTATGCTTCACCGCTGCCACCAGCAGTCGCTGCCTTATCGCGCACATCCTCCCACTGTGCGATAGCCGGCCACGGGAGCTCCATATTTGAGTGAAAATCCCCAGCAGCAACCGCGGCGGTGGCGGCCCCGTCACCATAAACGTACGATATCGGCATCGCCGAGCTCTTGTCGCCGGCCGCGGCGGTCAAGAAGCCGGTAATGGTGGAGGCGTTGCTGCCGCTCGCCATCACTGCCGCCGCGGCAGCGGCGGCGGCGGCGACGCGGCCGCCGCCTGACGAACGGGACTTGGAGCTACTGCCGCCGTCGCAGCCGATGGAGGTGGAGGCTGCGGCTGCCGCTGCAGCGGCCTTGGTGCTGACGGAGCTTGAGTTCATGAAGGAGAAACAGGAGGCTGTGGGTGACGGCGGTATTGAGGGATGTGTCAAGGGAGTAGTGCTGCCGCCCGCGGAGGAGAGGCGGTGGCGGCGGTAGGCATCCACGTGACAAGCCTGAAGGGTAACGCAAACGGAAAAATGCGGAAAACAGAAACATCACAACTGGCGACGCCCCAGTCACCCATGAAGTGTAAGCAAAGTGGAACTGAAAAAACACACAGACCAAAAGCGTGGATGCAGATAAACCAGCTGCCGGTGGTGCTCAAGGAGCCATGAAGCACATGAACGAGGATTGAGGAAGGGTTTAGGGTTTTATGGGTCCCATTTCCCCCCCCACACACACACGCCTGCATGGACGCCGCCAGCAGGAACAGCGCCGCCTCCCAGCCCAGGTGCAGCGCCAGACCGTCCAGGTAGGGGCTCTCCGGGTGACACAGCAGCAGGTGTGACGTGATGGCGCCCGCCAGGGGAAGAAGCCGCACAGCAAAGGCAAGCCGTACGGGCGTCTGGAGACGCACGCACGGGGGGTTTGAAAAAGGAGAGTGAAAAGGGAGGTTCTAAAGGATGAGATGAAACGGACTTCTCTGAGTTCTAAATATCGTTATACCACGGACCAACAACGGCTGGAACAATAAACTTGCGGTGCGGTGATGTTGAGGTTCGGTGAGTTAGGCGCATGAGTACAGGAATGTTACGGAGCCGGTCTGGAGCTGTGGATGCTCCCAGGGCACTTGGCGATGTGGCTGGACAGCCCTCCGCCCCAAGGTACCTACCTACCTACCCACCCACCCCACCCATGCATCCACCCTCCTTCCCCGCTTCATTTGACTACCCATGTCCGCCCATACCCCCTCAGCCAAGCCCACCTGCATGCACAGGACTTGCAGCGTGGAGATGAGCATCATCTTCATAATCCAGCGCATACCCGCACAGTCATCCGCCTGAGGACCCGCGGGGTGGGTGGGTGGGTGGGTGGGTGGGGTGATAAGTCGTCAAAAGGAATACAACTGCCGACGTCCAAAGGAAATGGTTGCGGAGAAATGGGGTTTGCTTGCATGCGTGGGAACGGGGGAGGCGGGCGCGGACGCGGGTTCAGTTGTTGGGCGAGCGCCCAAACACAACTACCGGACGAGCCGAGAGAGTCGCCGACAACCCCACAGTCACCCCAATACACGCGTGAGCGCACACACTCACTTCCAAAACACACACAGACATACAATATTACGCACGTGCACATCTCACCATCACAAGCCACGCACGCACCCTCCAAAACATACACGGACTTCAAAACACGTGCATACACTCACCCCGGTGGACAACTGCACTTGCCGTCCCCGTGGTGCCATCCCCGCATGCACCTGCGACACCAGCGGCATGACGCCCACAGACGTCCCGAGCGTCAGGATGCCGCGCAGCGCCACGCCCACGTGCACTAGCGGCGTCCGTACGGCCGCCCATCCGCCGCCACTGCTGCCGCTCGCCACGGCGCCACCCGCCACCGTCAGCAACTCCGGAGCCATAAAACACAAGATATTGGTCAGCCTCAGGCCCTTGCCTCGGTGCCACGCATAAAAGATGAGCATAGTTACGGCCATCAGATTGGCGTAGGCGATGTGGAGGAGGCCAACGCGCGCGTGAAGGAAGGCGACGTAGTCGCGGGTGGCAAGCAGCGGTGGCGGGCTCAGCGCCAGCAGTACGGCGTCGTACAAGGCGGCGGCGTTGCGGCGGGAAGCGTTGAAGAGGATGGTCGCGACAGCGGCGACCTTTGCGTAGTGCGGCAGACGGCGAAGATGAGGCCGGTAGAACCGGTAGACCCAGAGGCGGAGGCGGAGGTGGAGAAGAGGAGCGAGGAAAGGGGCGGACAACGGATTGATGCAGGGTTTTGTTGTAGAAGACGTTTTGCCGATCGCGGTATGAAAACATAGGACGAGGAATGGATAACGCGGGCAGCTGGGTTGCTGGCACAGAGGGGGGTTATGTGTGCGCCGCATCGTGGCGTGGGGCGGCGAGGGGCTCAGAAACGCAGGAACACGAACCCATGTACCTTCCCTGTTTAAGAACATGCCCATGCGCATTTTAAAGCAGGAGACGAAACATAAAGGACCATCACAGCCCATCTACATGTGAAGTGTTTCATGTGGTGGTTTCGGAGCGCATTCCGACATACATCCAGCCATACACGTCCAAACATGCATTCAAAGAAACAAACATACATACATACATGCATACATACAAACATACAAACATACATACATACAAACATACGTACATACATACGCTGGCAATCGTTTTCATCTTGACCAGCATGCTCGGCCTGGAATACGATACGTCTTACATCCTCCATCCTCCTCACCCTCCCTCTCCGGCCCCTATGGCCCCACCCACCCTGGGAAATCTGCTGCCGCCACCGCCCACGCCCAAATCGCTCCTGGCCGCCGCTTCTCTCATAACCACCCTGTAGCTCCTCCTCCTCGTCGTCCGTCTCCTGATAAAGGCTCCGAAAGCCCCAAACGCTCCCGGTGACGGTTGTGTCGCGGTCACAGCTTCGGCTTCGATTTCGGCCTCGGCTGTAGCAGCATCACCGCGGTTACAGCGATGGTGATTCTGGCCTTGTGAGCTCACCGCCGCCGCCGCAGCAGCAGCCGGCGCCGTCGCGGCCTGGCCGCCGCCATGCCGCCGTCGCAGCCTCACGCCGCTGCCGCTGCGGCTTCTTCCAGATTCCGACACCACGGGTCTGACCGACTCCGCGCCGGACTCGATCTCGCCGGTGGTGGACCACGGTGGGGCATTATAGCTGAATTTTAACATCCTGCCACCGTGTTGTACGGAGATAAAATCATTAGCGCTAGCGGGCGGGAGATCTGGCAGCGAAAGCGTGTCCAAGATGCCAGAGGGACCCATAGCCAGAAAGAAACGCTCAAGAACCTGCGTCGGCGTTAGGGCAGGCACCGCCGCCACCGCTTCCGCCGCAGCTGTCGCCGCCTCTGCTACTGCCGCTGGCGCAAACGCTGGGGACCCGATGTTGCAGCCGCCTCCGCCGCAGCCGCGGTGTGCGGATGCAGCCACGTCTGTACATGCACCACCAGAGGCTGCAGCAGGAGCAGCGGCTGCGGCGACATGCGCAAAGGAAGGCGCTGTTCCTCCTCCTCCACCCCCCATGGAGGGTCGCCCGCCCGCCCGCCCGCCCGCCGCCACTGGTTGGTAGACCAGATCCAAGTGGACGATGAGGGAGCCCTGGCGGACTGACACGTTGGCGAGGTGCCAGCCGGGGACGCTGCGAGGCGGCAGGCGGATGGCTGTGAAGGTTAGTGTCGGGCGGGCGGTAAGGGGGCAGCAGTGGTGAGGAGTAGGGCGGAACCATAAATGAAAAAATAAAAGAGATAACACCGAATGGGAGGGGATAGGAGACGGCGAAAACGGGAAATACTGTCGACCCGGACTCAGCCGGACGACGTCCAGAGGAATGTGAGTGAGTGAGGAGCGAAATCGCATTTGGGTATTGGGATACGCGTCACTGCTTCACACGCATGGAGGTCATCCAGTTCCCTTTCTCACCTTAGCTACGCACAAAGTGGTACAACAATGCAATGCTGAATGCTCCCAACAGCACAAGGTACAAAGCACGCCGGTACAAACGGACGAACGGACGTCCCGACGGGACCCAAGACGCGGTCTCTCACACCTCCCCACCGTTCCGCTGCCTGCCTGCCTTTACTTCAACCCCGCCTTCGTTTTCGCCTCTGGTCGGGTCCTCATACCCCATGGCCCCCCATGTACTCCCTTTTCCCGCCCCCCATGTATACTCCCTCAAGCTGCCCTTCCTTCCTGGAAACCCCTTCCCGCGCCGCCCCTTTCCCCGGCGGTTTCCTTTCCGATCTTTTCCGTCCTTTCCAGTCCTTTCCGCCCTTCCCGCGCCGCCCCTTTCCCCGGCGGTTTCCTTTCCGGTCTTTTCCGTCCTTTCCAGTCCTTTCCGCCCTTCCCGCGCCGCCCCTTTCCCCGGCGGTTTCCTTTCCGGTCTTTTCCGTCCTTTCCAGTCCTTTCCGCCCTTCCCGCGCCGCCCCTTTCCCCGGCGGTTTCCTTTCCGGTCTTTTCCGCCTTTCCAGTCCTTTCCGCCCTTCCCGCGCCGCCCCTTTCCCCGGCGGTTTCCTTTCCGGTCTTTTCCGCCTTTCCAGTCCTTTCCGCCCTTCCCGCGCCGTCCCTTTCCCCGGCGGTTTCCTTTCCGGTCTTTTCCGTCCTTTCCAGTCCTTTCCGCCCTTCCCGCGCCGCCCTTTTCCCCGGCGGTTTCGTTTCCGGTCTTTTCCGCGTCCGTCCCGGCCGTTTCACCTCTCAGCCATGGCCGTCGCCAGCTTGTTCCGCCACTGAGGTCCCAGCTGGTGCGGCTCCGCGTTAGTCACCACGAGCTGCACGCTGGTTGAGGTGGGGCGGACGTTCTGTGGAGCAGCAGCGGAGGCAGCAGACCAGGCCAGGCCAGCCGTGTGTGTGTGTGAGGGTAAAAGGGTAAAGGTCACGGAGCGAGTCGTCACGGAGGCCGGTTCCATCCCACAGGCAAAGGAGGGAAAGAGTTGAGTGAGAGGCGGGTACAGGTAGAGGGACGCCGAACGGGCAAAAAAGCCCCGCGCGTACTACAAACGGCCCCGAGCGTGCTAATGGCATACGTTCCCATCCCGTCCCGTAAGGTCAAAAACCAGCCCGTGCGAAACCTGAGAATGTATTGTCGGGAACGAACGGCCACCGAAGGGCAGGCTTGCAAAGGCCACATAAGGTAAAGTGCGGGTCACAAAGGGAAAATGAGGTGCGGCTATCTCGACCCCCGCCTCCTCCCCTTTTTGTGCCACGTAATGTCTGGGTTCGCTCGTATCCTCCTGCCTCCCCACGACGCGCCCCGTCTGCCGCTGTGCACCCGTCTCACCTGGTCCCGTTCCCGCTGCTTGGACAGCAGCACATAGCTGGACGGCCCGCGCATCAGCCGCCGCAGCGCCGCCTCGGACTGACGCGATCGACAACTGCCAGCGCGTTGTCCCAGTCCGCGAGGAATCAACGCCGTCAACTCAACTGACGACAGGGCCTCCGCTGCGGGCCGCGGCGGCTGCGGCTGCAGCTGCGGCGACGACGACGCGGCCGCGGCCGCCGCCATTGTGCCCGGTGACTTGACGTCCGTGACTCTGGCCTCCAACGATAAATTGGCGAAAGGAGCAGCGGCGGCGGCGGGGGTGGATGCCACGAGGCCGCCGACGGAGGCCACGCGGCGAGGTCGACGGTACGTGACGGTAGCATTGGCGGTAGTCGTAGAGCTAGCAGGGGCGATGGCGACAGTGGCTTCCCTTACCGACTCTCCAGTACTGCTTTATTGGATTGGAAAGGGACAGGGAGGAGTAGGGACAGTGCAGGCAGGGATGGATGGATGGGTGCTGTAATGCGGAGATGCGCAGCGGACATTCAGTGAGCATCGTATAATGCTACTGCGTGGGTGGGTGGGTGGGTGTGGGTGTGGGTGGGAAATCTCATGCAAGAAACATAAGAATCAACATCGTCCATCGTCCGGTGCAGCGAAGAAAGATGGACTCTTTCGGGACCGGCCCCAGGCGGGACGTTAATGATGCGGCGTCTTGGGTAACATGATGGAAGCCCAGCTGTAGTAAAGCACAGACATAATGGGCCCACGGACATTTGGAACAGGTTGGAATCTGAAACACGCCTTAATGGTCACCCAGTAACTGAACGGCTCCATGCGGGTCGCTTTCCCCCCCTCGTGCCTCTCTCACCAGCCAGTTCCTAGCCTCGCCTCATCCTCCAGCGGCGCTAGCTGTCCCGAAGACCCCTCCAAAATTTCCACAGTGGACAGCATGGGTATAGGCGCCCGGTAGTCATCGCCGTCGTCCTCCTCCTCCTCCATCACTTCCTCCCTTCCCACCTTTTCTCCTGCTGGCACTACCGCCCTCCCCCTTCCTGCGCCCCTCCCCGCCGTCGTGTAGTCCCCATATCGCATACCGCCGCCACCGATTCCGTTGCTGCCTCTGCCGCCACCATAGACAGGCCCTATCCCCTCCGTCCGACTAAGCAATTGCAGCTCCTCCTCCTCCTCCTCGGGCCAGGCCACTGGCGTCGTTTCTGCATCAGCGACGGCGTCAGGGTCAATTGCGATGCCGCTGCTGGCCGCTATGACACGATATGGGATGCTCGTGGCGGAGCTGAGACCCGAGCGCGTGCGTGTGCTAGTGCTGCTGCAGCGAGACACCAGCATTTGGTCGCAGTTCTGTGGGAGGAACACCACGCCAAAAGGCGGGCTGGTGTCCGGGCTTAGGTCTGATACCGTATTGGTGGCGGTGGTGGTGCTGGTCACGGTGGTGGAGCCGGAGAGGTGTCCCGGCGGGAGGTGCTCCACGGGCGGGCTGCACAGTAGCGGCGCCGATGCCGAGGGGTGCTGCTGGTGCTGCTGCTGCCCCTGCGGCATTGGCTGCTGCCATTGCTGCTGAGCATGCGGCTGCCGTTCACTAACGCTGGCTAACGCGGCAGATACGCCACTGCTGGTTGGTGCCGCTGGCGAAACCAAGCTGCCGCTCGAGGCTCTGCTCGGCGTCATCTCCGCCTTTGCATCACTGCCTCCTGCAGCCGCAGCCGCCGATATTTCCTGCGACTGCTGCAGCCGCTGCGGTGCCTGTATCAGCCGCCGATACGTGGTGACATGACGTGCCTGTAGCATGGAACTGAACACCACGATCCAGGCCTGCCACGTCAGCGACACGAGGGTTACCACCGGCATGGGAGCCCCCGGCAGCACGTCGTAGAGGCGCCACACAATGGAACGTAGGGCAGCGTCTATGACCTGGGCAAGGTAAATCTTGTGCACTGGCACCTGCGGACCAGAGTGGTTGTGGGGCCCGGGGCCCGGGGCAGCCAAAGGAACGGCTTAAATGCTCCGATAGCAAGCAATGCCAGGAGCATGCTAGAATTCTTATTGTTGCCTCGGACACATTGATGCGTAAACTATGTGCATGATTACGGACGAGAAAACGCGGCAGGGACTGCGTAAAGCCAGAGTGAGTTGAAGGTGTATACAGGTGAGCCAATAGACTGGCAAAAAGGCCCTCAATAAGGAGTTACCAGATTGCCAGTTCCCGAACTGCCCTCATGCCCTCTAGAACGGACCCCTACGCGTGCGTCTGTTTGTGTTTCGCGACCACGTGGAAGGGTGAATAACACCCAAAACGCGGTGGCTGCACAATTAAATATTACTCCAACGATTCGCTCTCGTAAAACGCCGTCTTACCTGGCAAAAGAACGCGTCTGCCATGGACAGCAAGCAGTGCTTGAACAAGTAGTGGCTTTCGTTGGGCAAGCGAGGTACCATATGAAAGACCTGCGAGCGGACCGATCCACGCGTCATAATCCTCATCCAGCGAGGTCATTTATAGCCTGGACGCGGGATAGCGCGTGAGGCCCAGCCTCAATACTAAGGCGACTAGCTGCAGCTGAGGTCAGCATCCCGCGCTTGACCCATCCTGGGATGGGTTATTTGAGATTAACTTCTTAACTTCAAAAAATCCGCAGCTCTGAGCTCAACAAATCGCTGGATCTTGGAATGATAACGGCAGGCCAGCGAGGGTATTTGGCCTTCATGTCCCGGATCCAGGAAGCGCCCGCCCTCGCCGGGCTTCCTTTACTAGCAACAATAAAGCCCCGAAACCAGGTTGCTGGCTGGTTCTTAGTCGCTGCTGGATAAGCAGCAATTAACCGTTGGTGGCCCCATCCAGCGGCAGCGGCGATTGCTTCAGCCTCACCTTGAGAAAAGTAAGGACGCCGTACATGCTAAGGTCGTAATAAGGTCCACAAACCGGATCGTGACCCAGATCGCCGTTTGAAAGGCAAGTGGGAGGAAATTGGCAGAATTAGAGCCTGGGGTTTAATGGAGAGCATGGGCTAAAGCGGAAGGGTCGTGCTAAGGAGTTCGTAAGGAAGGGCTTCGTGTGGCGGCCAGATCTAAGACGTTGCGTGCGCGGGTTGCCGCAGAAACCACGCGTGGGCTTGGGATGCATCAAGGATGGATGGACAGAAATATGCATGGACGGATTTAGTCCATGCATCAAGTCCACGTCCTCTCTTTACTCAAGCGAGCATGGTGTCGGGGGTTTGATCCGCAACCCACCAGTTCATGCTAATGCAAATTTGTTCTCGCCAACGCAGCCAGAGCTGCCGCCGCAGCAAGCTCAGAAGCAGGGACGCGAGGGAGCACGCCAAGAAGGCTTGGACGACTAGCGTGTCGACTTGCCATCCGTGGTAGAGCAGGTAGTTTGCCTCCGCAGCAGCGCGGAAGACCTGCCAACCCAAAGTGTACCCCGCCACCTTCTCTGTTAGGTACCTACAAGCAATTTCGCCACGATAGGCAAGTGTTCTATTGATGCATCAGCGGAGCTATACGAAGTGGGTTGTGCGTCGGATAGGAGCCCCAAATGGGCACTGCCCTCACCTGCTATAGCCCTGAGTCTTCAGGAGGGCTAGAGGGAGAAAGGCCTCATGAACGGCATTAACCAGAGTGTCTCGCAATTCTCTGTTCGGCAATGGGCGAGGTAAACAACATCAAGACGCGCATCCGCGCATGCGCTGCAGAAGCCTTTGATATGGATGCATACCGGCATGTCGGACGTGCACGAACGCCTTTCTTTGCGGAAGGGACGTCATCGTAGGACTCCTTCGCCTCAGGAGCTCTCCTAGTGGCATTTCGAAGCCACATTGTAGAACTACCTGTAACGTTTGTAAAAACGGCAACAACTGAACGCTGAGCAGGCTGATACAAAATGTGAGAGGCCGTACGGGAAAAACCTGTAACCCTAAAGACCCCACTTTTCTGACAGCAAACAAGGACTTAGGTACCGATGGCGAATTATAAATCTTTCATTAGCCGGTTACGATGTGCGGGACGGCTACAACAAAGTCTTCGATTCTTGACCGTTTGTGACCATGGCGTCCAGCAATATGCAAGTATCAAATTGCCTTGACATATGCTTACAGAAAGCTTTAACTAACTCCCAAGACTTCAGGAGTGCTAGAATTTGAATCTGACCTCAGCTGTTTCGATTGTCATTACGTGCCACAACCCCTAGCTTGCTCATATTGTCTAGCTGCTGACGACCAACGATGACCCACGGCAACATGCAGTCATCGGCAGATGCTGCGCAGGGACTGCCTTCCAAGGTGTGACTTCGCCTGACTGCCAGGCATTGCCCAAACTGCAATAGTTACATAAATGTGGTACAAACAATTATTTTGGTACATCTTATCTATGGTTTAATTTGCAGGAAGCTCATGGGAAGCCCGCCGCTGGTCCAAAAGGTTCCGGCAAGAAACTTTCACGAGAAGCGTTGCAACTGTTGAGCAGTAATAACGTTTTCTCTGGCATCTCGAATGGCCGTGTACCTGCGCTGCCGCCAGGAGCCAAGCCGAGAAGTCGACCCTCTGACCCGGGCCCGGAAGCGCCACCCGTGGCAGTTCGTAAGAAGGGTCTATCCGATCCACCCCTTCCAGGCGGTCCTGAAAGGGAAGGGCAGCAAGGGGAACAGAGTGAGCTGGATGCAGGCCCTGTCAAGGACCAAGCGAACAAGCGCAGCGTACCAGCTGCACAGCCAGCGGCCGGCGAAAGGCGTGATGAGCGCGATCGCAAGCGCCAAAAGAAGGTCAAGAATTCAGAGCACCAGGAGCACCAGCCGCGCAGTGGTAGAACGGCAGAAGCAGATGCTTCCGGCGGTGTGAAGGACTCCCGGCACACGGCGGATGGCCTTGCGGCTGCGGCCGCCCACGGGGTTGATGTCGATGCTGAAGCAGGAGCGCGGCCAGGGGCCAGCAAACGCAACGCCCGAAACAAAGGTGCGCATTACTGCGGTATGGCATTGCCGCGGTATGGTAACGGTAGTGATCGCGATGGAAGGATTACCTGGTTTCCCGTGCATCCCAACCAGACCGCCCAGCTGTGGGCACCGCTGCGCAAGGCGCACCAAATGGCGTCGAGAGCGCAGCAAATTTGGCCACCTCCAGCCAGCCAGCTGCTACGAATGACAACTCAAAGAAGCCTCGGACGGAAAAAGGACGATCAGCTGCGACGAACGATCAGGCGGGTCCAAGCAACGCGACTGGGGATCCGGAGCCCAAAGCTGGTAAGCCTCGCGCGGCATCCCAGCAGGTGGAGCCAGCTAACACACAGCAGGCGGCTGGCAAGGCTGCTTTTGCCGCGCCAGCGGCAGCCGGGCCTTCGGCATACACGATCCAACCGCCGAAAACAGGAGCAGCAGCGGCGGCAGCTTTGAGCCTTGCGCGATTGAATGCAGGGGAAGAGCGTGAGCCTGCCGGCGAGAAATTCGCACCAACCACTTCGGCAGCAGAGCCTCAAGGCCCTTTTACAAGTGGCTGTGTTCTACAGCTAAACACGCGATCTGCAGCTGGCCCAGGTCCGGTCAATGCAGCAGAAGGCGGATGGCATTTGCCAGCTACTGGCACCACGCCTGTGAAGACCTTCAACCCGGTTTCCTTGCCGCGCTTGGACGATATCGGCCTGATTGACCGCAAGGCAGTGGCCGAACTGCAGGTTTGCATGCGATGCGCATGGGTTTTAGTGCCGGGTTGTTTATGCGATGCAGTGAGTAGGTAACCATGCATCTGCATCTGCAATGCCATTGTTAAAAAGCCTGCAACAGACTCTCGAGATATTTGCCGTCATTCCTTTGCTTGTCGCTCCAATTCTATCTTATCCTCCTACATGCAGCGGCAATTGTCCGAGGTCCGTTTCCTTTACGACGAGCTCAAGGTGGGTTGAGTGCTGTGAGACACGTTTTGTGCGTTCCCGTAGTGGTGCAAAGCGCGTGCATGGGAGTAATGCGAGGAGACGTCTATCCTGGCCCACGCCGGAAAAATTACGGCTATGCAGGCAACGAAAATCCAAGGAATGGAAAAGATGATGGCGGAGCAGGTCGCGCACGCAGAAGAGCAGGTGGGTCGAAGCCTCTACAATGGGCCTTTATGAAGCATGCCCTTTATGCTTGTGACCATGATGTGCGGACCATCTCTGCTCCTCCTTGCCTCCCCTGGTTGAAATAGGATGCCTGTTGTTTCTGAGGGGCAGAGAAGTAGTGTGGGGCTTGAACTTGTGCAGGTGCAAAACGCACAGCGGATCGCCCAGCACTGGGAAGCTGTCGCGAAGCGTGCGGAAGAGAAGGCAAACAGCGCGGCGGGGAATCAGGACACGGTGAGTGTACCGGCGCGGTATACCCACGGGTGCCCACGGACGACAGTCCTCCTAGTACGGAGGCAATATTCTTTGTTCCCATGTACAACGAACTACTACAGTAACCACATTGGAGTGTGAGGAACATGGCGCGTTGTGGTGTATTTGTTGTCCTCCATTTCTCAAGGGACGCTATGTTGAACTGGCTTCTTGCTGTCATCCGCCTTGTACAGGCTCAGCTGCGGCAGCTGTTGAAGGAGAAGGGACACTTGTTGCTTCGCGTGGCTCAGCTGGAGATAGAGTTGTCGCAGGTGCAGCAAGCCCTCCACGATGCACGGGCGCAACTGGTGAAGTACCAGACGGGGTTGTCCGCGGGCCCTGGTCGTCAAGCGCAGGACAATAATGAGGCCAATGTCGACCAGGGCACTGAATGCCCTCAGCGCCATGCAGGCGCTGAGGCTGAGCATGGCGAAGGCACGGACTCGGATGGGGCTCGACGTGATGATGTGAAGGTTGCACAGCAGGTAGCGCAAATGATTAAATGAGGTGCTCACGGGCTTCCGTTCTTTGGGTTTTGAGCACATTAGCACAACACGTTTTCCTATTCTGTCGCAGGAGCCTTTACCGGATGTGACTCTAGCGGGCGGTTGTTCTCCTGGCGCTGATGACGCAGCAGCAGCCGCTGGCAGCATTGTTAGAACCGCCTGTCAGTCGCCCAGCTGCGGCGCCGGTGTGCAGTTTCCAACACCGGCGGGAGGCACAGGCGCACAGTTTCCAAGCCCAAGTGCGCAGTTTTTCCCCATGCGGGTAGGCGTACGGGTTCACAGCTGCCATTCTGCAGCATCGGGTGCAGAGCTGCTTAATGGAACAATGTTCATGTATGTTTTCTACGCGCTGGACCAAATGCCGCAGGGCTTAGGGACGGTTCCGGGATCTGGCAGTCGGAGCGTGGGGCGAGGCGTCAGCACGGAATGCCAGCGCATTGTCCAAATGCTGCCTAGCCTTCGGTAGGTCTCTGTGGGCGCGCATGCTGTCCTGTCTGGCTTCAAAGTTCGATGCGAAAGTGAATAAATCATTCATCCGCCGTAGGTCTGATTTTGTTGTTCTTGGGCAATCGTTGGCTGCAGGGCACCTTCCCCTAGCATCCAGTCGCACCTGCGAAAGGCAGTAGGTGTCAGTACGGAGTGTGAGCACATTATCCAGCTGCTACCCGGCTTAAGGTAAGTTAGCACTCACAGTTCCCTGAATAGACAGGGTAAGGGCGGTAACATACGGCTATCGCCGCGCAACCCTTTGCTCATAGGGTACCTTCGCCAAGCGTCCAGTCACGCTTCACACTGGCAGCTGTCCCATCGGCAACGCTGGCGAACAATTTGCTCAACGTCGCGGACGAACTAGATGGTGTGACGCCAGTAGCGGCCAAGGAAGCCCAGGATAAGTCACTTGCTCAAGGAGGGAGCGGCAAAAGGTGAAACACGGCTGCGGTTACTATCGAATTCTGCACACCTTGAAGGCATTGTCGATAGTATAGTAGTGGCCAAAACTTGCATAAGATCGCCAGCTGCCATTGACCGCATTGCGGAGTAATGACACGGGTCATACTGCTTCTTATCACAGGCATTCCACTGGCAGCCCAATCGACGGCATTTGCGGCGCTGATAACCTGAAAGCTGTCGTTGCTAGCGCGGCAGCGGACTTGTCCCATGCCCATAACATGGGCGCACCCGAGGCGTTTCAAATTTCTGGGAAGCAGGTACGTGGCGATGTCGTACACGTGATGATCGCATATCCCGCGTTTCCAGCCTCGAGAGGTAACCCTCAACCTTGCTGACGGATTTGCAAATTGTACACCGCCTTCGCTGCATTCCTCTAAATCGGTGGCCGCCCGACTTAAACGTGATTTGTAGGACAAATACAGTTTTGTGGATCTAAACCCTGTATCGGCGAAAAAGGCTGCTCGCTATGCGGCTGCTGCGGGCACTGGTGTTTCGGTCGCTCCGCGGACAATGCTGGACATTGCTGGGCCTGGGAATGCGGCCAATGGGGTAAGGCACACAGTCGAATTGACCCCTGGTTGGCACACAGTCGAAGTGACCCCTGGTTGTTCGTACAGACGGGTCAATCCTGGATGGCTTTTTGTATGTCCTGCATTATCCTGTTTTGCAGGCTCTGGCGCAAGAACCTAAGTCCGTGCTTCAAACTGCAGCATTGGTCGCAACTGCGGCAACGAAGCCACTACCACCGTCTCCTAGTGCCTTGCGGCAGGTGAGAGCCTAACCAAAACGTGTACGCTTGCCAAGGCCTTGCTGCGTACCTAGCGGCGCGTTTGCTGAGAGGCATATACATTCCACCTGCCCATCGTGCACCACCTAAGGTTGAATGTGGGCATGTTCCTTCATAAGCACGGTGCCACACGGCAATGTCGCAATAGTCCGAGAGTTGGCCGAGTTAGTCCGCCGCACAATTGTACGCATTTTTGCATCACTCCGCCTCCATTCTCGCAGATGCAGCCAGTACCGCCGGCAGGATATCCGCGAGGTGTAAGCCCCGACGGAGCCGCAGCGGCTGCTGCTGCTGTCATCCAGTGCGGTTCGGTTACAAGCAAACAAGACAGTTGTAACCTACCTGGAGTTGCTCAGGGGGAAATGGGGCAGCTACAGGCTACGCAGCACGCTATGGGTAACCAGGCCATCGTTCAGCCGCCCCAGGTAGGTCCCTTGGGGCCCGGCACCGGGGGTTTTGCGTGGCCTGTCCTTTGATGCCGAAAAGCAACGACATTTGGCGCGATCACCCTTCGCGGGGACATGTAGCTTACTCTTGTTTGGGTACGGTTGGCTGCAGTCGCCAATGTCGGCAAGCAAGGCGCCAGCTCCGGTGACAGCGCGTGCCCTGCCAGCTACGGACGCCGATGGTGCCGTGATGCATGTACAGGATATCGGTGATAAGGCGCAGGACGGGCAGGGGCCGCGGGGCATGCTTCCCAGGTACGTGCTCCTTCAGCATTTTACATTACTGCCATCATGCTGCTCAGCGCATTAGTTACCGATTGTTTTTGCGCATTTCTTGCAGGTCGCCTTCCCCACGCACGGCCAAGATCAAGTTTTACGAGGGCATGGTCGGGTGGCATGTGGATGTGATTTCCACTAAGCCGATGGAGGCTTACCGAGTCACCCACACTGCATGCGGGTTGTCCTTTGAGCTCCGTGAGGTGTGCGGGCACAGCTTGCTCCTAAGTTAGAAGCATTGCATGCATGCTCATGACAGTGCATGCTCATGCTGGCGGAGTGTGCCGCATGCTCTCACAGTGCATGCTCATGCTGGCGGAGTGTGCCTCCTTTCTGCTGCTGCTTCCTGCTCCTCCAGTTAGCCGTACGCATAGGCATCGCCGTGCATTAGTTTCAGAAACGACACTTTGTATGCATGTGTGTGTGCATGTATGTCGGTCTCCAGACGGAGGTGGATCCCGAGGACTTGGAGGACGTGGAAAGCACAGGCCAGCCATTGGGCGATCCTGTGGGTGACGCCAACAAGGCCAAATTTTACGAGTATGTTCCGCTGAATCTGGGCGCTATCGGCGAGTATCTACCGGCGCACTTGAAGGTGACTGCGGTTTCTGTTTTCGCTTGTGCAACGAGTCCACTTAGTAGGCATGATGCATCGCTAGTTTACTTCGCAGTTGTCCATCCGAGACACCTCATGCGTAGGGCGGAGCTATCCATTGCGGCAAAGAATATGTGCTTGGGTTGCCTTTGCTCTAACCTTCTCTTGCTGCGAGTAAAAGCGCCCATAGGAAACGTGATGAAGCGGACATACGACTTTTTTTGGGCACGTTCTTTGGGTTTGACGGTGTTGCCATTCACGTCCCGTATGCAGGAAACAATTACGATATCGCAAGACCAGCGGCCTAAGTTGCTGGAAAAGCTCGACGCCGTCGTCAAGGGTGCTCGAAGCAGGAAGCCGTAACTGGAGCAGTTGCCCGTGGCTACTTCTTCCTCTCATTTGTATTTGGTCACATATGATGACAATCTAGCAAGGAGCCAGAGGCGCAATGACGCATTGGAATATTATGCTGGGATGCTGGCATGCTTGTTTGTCCAATGCGCAGAGCTCGCATGGACGCGCAATTCGGTCTGGCTACACCATGTTAGCTGGGCCGATGTAATAGCGAAGAGGTTATCAAGCCTAAACCTGGTATTCGTTGGAGCAGGTGCAGAGGCGATTCGGACACTTGGCCAACTTTTCAGCCTCGCATACACGCATTAGTTGGCATGGCTGAGCATTACGTTGGTGCTCTGTGCTGCGCATCGCCTCTCGCATCTTTTGCGGACACAAGTTAACCTCTGTGTAGGAAGCTGGAATCGACCCACGGGACGCAGCCCCGCCGCAATAAGGTTTAGACACTGAGGACAACGCTTTCTTTGCCCACCATTCTACACTTTTGCACACCTACCTTATGCCCGGCTGACGGGTCGACAAACTGCTGCTCCATGCAATTTACGCCTGTAACGTGTACGTGCCATTCCTCATCTCTATGAATTGCTTGGCCGACTTACATCTGATCAACACATGCAGTCCTTTTAGTGATCTAAAACCTGGTGACAGAACATGGCGGTAAAAATCTTTTCGGCGGCTTGTTGAAAGCACGTTCAGATGCAGGACTTGGGTAATTCCCTTCAAAATGGCAACAGTCCATTTATCGTCAACTTGCGACAAATGACAATTGATGCTATGGCTGTACGATAGCTGCAGTACAATTACGACCCGCACCCGAAATGGCGGCGTTCTGGGCACGTTTAGGCAGTGCTATTTAAATAGTGTAAGGTTAACGTTTTGTTGTTTCACGACCTCGCAAGGTCCTCTACTTCTGATCTTTTGGTTAACGTTTGTTTTTTTGGTGAATGAGTGAAAAGCCTCCTAGTATTGCCGGCGCTAACTGCAATGGCCATCGTGGCAAGGGGATTTCCTGGGCTCACCTTCGGCACCACGCCGTGGTCTGCTACGGACAGCACGAAGAGGTAACTTGCAAGGCAAGGGCAGGGAGACGCTATGCCTCGAGAGGGTTTCTCTTGTAAACTTCACCTAAGGAGTACCACATAGCAAAGGGAATGGGTTCAGCAAGGCGCTATCATTTCAGCGAGTAATTTCCAGTTTGTTGCAGCCCGAACCACCATCATTTTGCTCAATTCATTTTAACGCTTCGGGTTTTGCCTCGTTTACACTATCCTTGATAAGGGACGCTTCGCTTTCACCTTCAACTTCTGCTCAGGACCCCGGCTAAGGAGAGCGGACTTGCTCGATGCTGGCAATCTTTCGATTTTTCTGACAGCTCCAAAGTTACTCCAACGATTAAGGAAGAGGTCAGACGGCACGGCTTTCCGCAATCCATCCGCGCGGACGCCTACTTCTTCCTTTCGGGAGGGTCTATCCTTCAGAGACAGTATCCGCCCGGTGCGTATAACGCGCTGGCAGCAAGCACCTCCAACCTCAGCGACGACGCCATCTACAGCGTTGAGGATGACGTTGGGAACGCCCGCGTGTTGTTCAAGGACACGCGACTCTTTTCCACAGCGAAGGGTGCAGAAGTACTCTCTCGCATCATCTTCGCATATATTCAGCACAACCCAGCATGCGGCTACTTCAAAGGCTTGGCGAGTATCGCGGCTCTCCTCCTGACGGCTTTCGGAAAGGAGCGCGAAGAGCAGGCCTTTTGGACTTTAGTGGCCTTGTTGGAGCGCCGCCTTTTCCCCTCGACGAACGGTCAGGTGGGCCATGAGCAGTCGCAAAATTAAGCTTGGGCGGACAATTCCTACCTCGGAATCTGACGTGTACGTGGACGCGTTGCTTGCCGTGTGGTACCCCGCAAGGTCCCCGCCGGAGCACGGACCGATGTTCAGGTGCTGCAGCTCCTCCTGGCGCAGAAGCTGCCGGCGCTGGTGACGCTTTTGACCAAATTTGGTGCTGACGCGATGGATACGTTTTGCTACACCTGGTTCTCAACGGCCTTTACACGTGTACTGCCCTATGAGGTAAATGGGTTGGTCTGAGCCCACCACATGGGTGTCTTGTTCGCTAACAATGGGAGGCAGCAGCAGTTGATGGCGTCTCGGGCCTAGTGCATGGCTCTGGCCTCCTCGTGGTAAGGGAATTACCATAACATGCCCTGTTGCTATGCATTCTGCTTAAGCGCCCTGGAGTTATTGTCGGTATGCATTTTTGTCGTGTGTCAGGTGGTGTTGCGAATTTGGGACTGCGTTGTTGTGGAGGGCCCGAAGGTGTCGCTGCGAGTAGCCATGGCGCTCATTAAGGTAAGATATTCATTGCTTGTTACAATTTGAATTATCCTCGCCCTGCAAACCAAGGAAGTTGATGCGGTCAGCACCTTAAGACGCATTAGCTTCGTGTCAAGGACTGCGGCCGGTCTTCAACACCTAGGCTGCCTGGCTGTTAGGTAGCGTAGGAGATGTATGCGGTCGACAGGCAATTGCCCCGACCAGGCATTTTGCGCAGGTGCTTCATGGCATTGTGCACAGTTGTAATGATCGCCACGCACAGTCTTGGCCCATGAGGCTTGGCCCATGCCCTGCATGTAATATACCTCAATCCAATATCTGTTGCACTTCCCTTCCTCGAACAGATGTGCTCCAGCAGCGTTCAGAGCTGCACAAATATCGAGGTGTTGTGTCGCGTTGTCGAGTCACGCCTCTCACGCTTCCAAGATGCGAATGCACTGTTGTCGGTGGCATTTAGGGGCCTGGGCAGTCTCAGTAGCACAGCCGTCGATGCGGCACGCACTCGCGCCTCTGCGTCTTTGCAGCGCTCGCACTCGGCACATCCAACGCCGTTATCTGCAGGCGCTAGCAGCAATGCAATGTGCTCATTGAGCACCAGCAGCGGTGGCAGCAGCAACAGCAGCAGCAGGACCCTACTTAAGCAAGTGTCGATATGGCCATCACCCAAGACGTCTGGGATTCTTAGCACTGCCTGACGTGGAGTTCAGAGTGGTGGTGTGGCATGTCTAGGAGTCAGGAATGGACAGACCGCAGGGCCCTTTGTCGCTCGGTAATCGTGACATGGCATGGGTTCCTCCCGCATTGGCGCATGGGCTGTACTTAATCACACGCCTACATTACCGCCGCCCAATGCCGGTTCGGGGCTGATCATATTATGGCTTGGCTTGCGGTTGTGAACTGGTCCGAGTATATTTGTTCTTACTCGTTATCGCGATGGGGGAGCTTTGGTTGCATGGAAGTAAAAGGTCCATGCTGAGTAGTGGCAACCCCAAGAAAGGAGATAGATACATTTCATGATTAATTTTGTGGGGAAATGACAAAATTTATTTGACTTTGCAGAATTGCGGTCATGGCAGTTAGGAGTTTCAATGAAAATACAGTTAGTCGCATAATGCCCATCGCATAATGCGCCTAGGCACGGTCGATTGGTTTATCAATCATCGGTATGGTGGGATTGCGGCCGGACCTCTGCAGGTCCAGAAGCCGGTTTGCAAATTTCGACCGCGAGGAAAAGGAAGCGTTATTGGATAGGTTTGTCTTCGTTCCTCATCTGGCTCTGGATGACGACAAAGCCTGGGCAGGAATGCAGCAGCGAAGGACCTTGCCATAGATGCTGGAGCTCCAAGACTTGTTGGAACCACCCAATCTCCCACACCCAATGAAGGCGCCCGCTGACCGATAATTCTTTTTAATGATTGCGAGCAGAGAAAATGTCTTATGTCTTCATGCTGGCGCACACAGCTGCCATACATCCCCGGCAGCACTGGATGCCAGGCCCCACGAAGTCCCAACATGGAAGACGTGTAGCTACGCTGTCATCCCTCACTCCAAGTCAATCTCTTACGAACTGCGCCAGGAGGAACCCTCGCAATACGACTCCAAATGGTTCCGGAGCCTCTTCACCGCCACCCCAGCCCCTCTACGAGCTCATACGGACATACGGGCGCGGCAACATGCTACCCCGGGTTGTGAAACTGCAGCTCTCAGAAAACGCCCTCAGCTTGCCGACAGGAGCTAGCTGCGCAAACCTGCGCAAATTCTTTGATATGATATAGTCGTACCTTTACATTCACAGAAATTTGATTTGCGCCATTTTTCCAAGCAGCAGGCTTTGTGGCGACAAAGCGCATCGAGGCAGCGTGTCTGATCGGGCATCCGTTTTCTTTTTAGGCAGAGGGCATTCCTAGGGCTTGGCTTACGTAAATTTGTACTGTTTTCCCTCGGCAATGACTGATGAAGCTAGGGCGGCTCACTTCCACTTCCATAGAGAACCTAGGGCGACTTGTGGGGTTACGATAGCTAGCGGGAACAGGACATTTCAGAAAAGTGAGGAAAGCACACGTCCCGACTTGAGTTGGATTTTTGAAGCCCGGGTCGTAACCGGGTTGATCAGACAAATCGATGCGAGCTGCTTCACCGCGGCTTCCATCCACCCCCTTCCCCGCAGCACGCGACAAAGAACATTTCCGTACCGCACAGGCCAAAACCTTACTGTTCATGTACGACACTTCTACCGCAAACTGTGCCGCAACACCTTCCACCAACTTCAGCTCCTCTGCAAACGCACACACGCACACGCACGCATTAGTCGCTGGCTGTGGGCTTCTGCATGCACATGAAGAAAGAAGAGGCTGGGGGAGTTCTCGCGCCTCCCCCCTCCCCCCTCCCCCCCCCAACATCTGGACGGCCTTTGTTCTGGGCTCCCCCACGACCCACATGCGATGCCGGTTGTACTGCAACCGTCTTTGATTCATCTGCAGTCGGAAAAGCTCCATTCAGGTATTCAACAGCTCGTGCGACCCACAACTAGTTTGTGTCACACACACCCCCGGGTGTAAAATCGGCGTCATGCAACAAAGATTGATCACGGACCCACAGCCGACCCAAGGGCTTGGATCGATAAGAGTTCACCGCCTCATCTATCCCTGCCCAACACGTCATCCACCGCCAGCATTTTTAAAAGAGGATCCACCGCCGCCGCCGCCGCCGCCGCCGTGACCTCACATCCGAGAGCATACATACCCTTGGACCACTCCTCCTTGGACAGAACCGCCAGGTCCGTGTCGTACACGCACATGTTTGCAATAGACATTTTCCAACCACGCACCTGCCTAGCCACATGTCGCAGCCACACGTCCAGGCAGGCAGCTCTTGAAGCCATTCATTCACGTCATGACGCTGCCGTACAGCAACATCGGGACCAGGGGGTGTCTCTTAAATGGGGTGCAGCAGCAGCAAGGGCCATGGGGGCGGAGGGGACGGTGTGGGGCGGGACGAAAAGGAGGGCTAAAAACCGAATGCTGCTCGCTGTTGATGTGCTGAAATGGACCGAATGCTGAAAGGGTACGAGCCTAGGTGATAGCGCAAAACCAGGTACATGAAACAGTACGACATGGATCAGTCGTCCCCGCGGGCCGCTCCAACATAAATGCATTCAATGCGTGAGACAGACACATTCCGTACACTTACGTGAGGAGTCCATATGGAGCTCATCTGCCGTACGTCATCCATGTCGGCAGACGCGACGGCGGGAAACAGAAGTTAAAGGTATGTACGGTGCATAACCAAATAAAATGGTTTGCCCAGGGTACGACACAGTACCAACAGAATCAAAACAAAGCAAAAACAGAACAAATTATATGGCCGGCGGCTGTCAGCGCTAACTTTGACTTCTGACTACTGCCGGCTGGGCCCCCTTTTGCTAACCTATTTGCTGCACTGTACGATTTAGTATTATTGCTCTCACTGTATTATTGCTGCCGCAACTACTGCTGCTGCTGCTGCTGCTGCTGCAAGCACACACACATACACACACATACACACACATACACACACATACACACACATACACACACATACACACACATACACACACATACACACACATACACACACATACACACACATACACACACATACACACACATACACACACATACACACACATAGACACACATACACACACATACACACATACACACACATACACACACATACACACACATACACACACATACACACACATACACACACATACACACACAGTAAACACACATAAACACACATACACACACATACACACACATACACACACATACACACACATACACACACATACACACACATACACACACATACACATACACACACACTGTACACCACAGAACGGAGCGGCTTGCCACCAAAACCCGGCTTACCTCCTCCGTGCCTATCCAGGAAACCATCCGACATTGTCATCTGTGGAGAGACGCCGCAGAGAAAGACTCCTGAACGTCTTCGCTCTCTTTTCCCGAACAAACCACTGGCAGCCGCCGGATACCCCAAACCCCATACACGGCAAAGCACCAACTGACATTTCGGGATCTTATGCACACGCCACGGTCCGGTGCACGCGCCACGCACGTCCCTGAAAGTATGCGACCTGCGCTACGGGAGCTTGTGGTGTGTGTGTGTGTGTGTGTGTGTGTGTGTGTGTTTGGCGACCATTGCGTTGCAAGGCAAAGCGCCGGTTTCCCTGCAAGAAACATTTCTCGGCTTCTGTCTGTGTGCAGCATGCACGCGTACCAGCAGGCCTAGGCCTAGCCTTTGGCTTGGACAGTCAGTCCCAGCGAACATGTCGTCACGCATATCGTGTAGCTCACGGCGTCAATATCGGCACCAGCTGCTACATGGCAAGTTGAGTTGCGAACTGGTGCACTTGTAGACCTGCGAATTGTAGCCGAATAGCGCCCTCAATGTACGTTCACTCCATGCCGTTTTGGCTGTACGTGTGGATGCACGGCCAAAACGGCCGTAGCTTGGGCATATCCTCTAGCCGTACATTTGCAACAACGACTGCGCTTCCGGCTGGCTTTGGGTGGGCAACTCCACGGCTAAAAATGCGCTCTGCAAGTTTATAAACTGAGGCATTGTTGTTCCTCTGGCGCCGAAATACAAAATTTCTTTTCACAGAATTTCCTCCTAGCCGAAGTTATTCCTCTCACACATTGCCGGTACCTTCCCACCAATATGCATTATCCACTACGCACCTCCCACGCGAAGTCGATCACATCATTTTGCATCGCACTTTCCTGAATCACCACTACACACACCGCCCCTCCACTCCCCCACCACTGAATTAATCCGCGCCACCTCATTCCCAGTGCCCTGAATTGCCCGCCTGGGCCTCATGCATGCTGCTAGCGCAAGCACCTCTGCCTTTTGCCACCCTTCCACTACATTTCTTCGCCTTCCGTTGCCTGTAAAGGGTTTACCTCCTATAGCTTTCATCCCCTTGTCCACGCACCCTAATCCTGCTCCTATTCCTTCCGGCCCTTTTGCCCCCATTTATGTTTCGGGGTGTTTCAGGGTGTCGACAAGACCAAGGAATGTGGTTTTCATAAACGAGGCTCGAGAAAAAGAGGGAACGTATCTCAATCTAGAAGGTCTAGCGGAACGTGAAGCGCTCGGCAATGCGCAACTGCTAGACCGGTGTGTACCCTAGGACACACTCCCTGAAGTGCGAGCTTTTTGCGCTTTCTCGGCATGCCTTGCTGAAGAGTACAGAATCAGGGTAGTAGATCAGGGCGCAGCGAGTGTGTCTGTGTGCGTACCCGCGCTTCTTTGTTTTTACAGTGTACGGAAACAAGGGGCCGTACATGCCTAGCAATTTCGGTACCAGGGAATCAAAACACGCCCATCGCCTTCAAGCCTTGCCAATGCACGACTCTGCATAATTCTCACAATTCATGACACGCCCGCGAACAACCACTTAACATTTCTGTTTAATTAAATTGTTCAAGAGGACATTTATCAGGCGATTTATATGGGGGCGGGCCGTGTTCTTTTGCTTCAAGCCAAAAAATGATGGGGGAGGGCAGGGCGCACAACTGACAACCAAACCCAGATCACAAATATGCATCGTAACTCCAAATACGAGAAGGACCTCGGGCTCCAGATGACATGACACAAACATTTAATACATATCGTGCGAAGAGGAACAAGAAAACTTCCCTGTGAACATGCCTGGCCAGCCCCACCCAGGAACACAGCACCTTGGCCAGATCACCGCTCTGCTTCCCCCTCCCCCACCACCGCAAAACTCCCTCCCTGGCCTCTCTCTCCGCCCATTGCCGGCCTTTTATGAGAAGTGTATTCCTTCTTCAAAAACTCCCTCATGGATATCCTCCAAAATCCCACACATGGCAGAAAGAACAATGTTGCCCCTACCTCTACCCAAGCCAGGAAGATGAAACATCGCTGCCTGGCACATGACCGGTGCCATAACCCTATCTTAACAATTCCCAGAACGGGACTTCCGCAATCCCTGTTCTTCCAAAGATTCAAACCACAGACAGCGTCCTCGCAGACAAGTGTGAAGTGCAGCTTATCCCCCCCAGTGCCTCTCATGTGCGCCGCCGCCAGGTGTGTCATGTCGTACTTCAACAGCGGTCACATACAACTGCCTGCGCATGTCTGTACGGTTGCTGCGAACAAGGAGGAAGCGAGCTGCAGGACCGGTGCCCCAGGCTCCGGAAGGAGTTCCGGAGCACCGTACGACGGCCGTACAGGACATTGCCCCTGCTCGTTTGAATTCCACAAAGAGGGGTCTTGTACTCGTACACGTAGGACAAAAATAAGCGAAACTTCTCCACCTAAATTTTCGGATGGTCGTTTCAGTACCCACCTCAACTCTTGATGTACAGTGCCGAGGCATGAGACACAGACG